AGCCAGACATTTATTGAATTAGTTTATTTTATTACCAAGCTTAAAGACTTTTTATTTTTAAATGAGCTTATTATGAGTGCCCATTATCTACAGATTCAGATGTGTATTTATGTGAAAGTGACAAATGTAGACAAACTTCCAACTTTAATAAACACTATTTTTTTTTATTCATAATCTTTCACATAAAAGTCAATTGTGATCTGGTTTTTGAAGTTTTGATAAATATAACATGACGAATTCTACGACTTTCTATGGGCGGCCAGACACAGACACCACCACAGTAAAGCCGCTAATGGTTGTTACGCCCGTTTAACTCCCGGTAAAGCCACATTCATAAATCTCTATAGTGAAAAATTAACAAGTTATAAATAGAACAATATTAAATTAGCAATAGAAAGGCGATAAATAGTCAAGACATAGTGAAGTTTTATAGAACAATTATCGAAAAATGAAATGTCTTTAAACACTTGTGATGAGGTAGTTAGCCTAGTTAAGATTTTCCCGCCTAAATCACAAGTATCTCTCCCCCCACCCAACCACCCCACCACTGCCGTCCTTAAATACCCTGAAAGCTGTGATGGGAGGTCAGTAGTGATCATAACCTCAAAGGAAGTAGTGCTACAGGACTCAAGAAATTACATATGTTTATTCTTCAGCTGCTGTTATTATTTTTCTTAAGTTTATTTCTCGTGTTGGTTAAAAATAAGTTTTGTTGGTGAACTGTTTATATTTGATATAACTTGGTTATATATTAGTGTAACTAGTGAATTATTTCTCTGTATGTGTGTTTGAGTTTGATATTTAATACTTGATACACTTCCATATTTAATCTTTAATTACTTGCTTGTTCCAGATATTCGTGATCTACGTGGAGTAACTACTGACAATTTTCAGTGTCGGGATGAAGTGAGTCTAGTTCTCGGTGAAAGTGGTCCAATCCAGCTTCACCCACGGCACAGTGACCTATCAACCTTGTTATGCGGGTAGCTAAGGACGAACCCGGCTGGAGTGGGAAAAATTCAGAAGCGTGCGAATTGTTGTAGGCCTATTTATTTAACTTTAAATATGATATATATAATACTACAATAAACTTGATCTTAACTTTAAAACCCCCGTCTCTTAATTGCTTTAATGTTTTTTCTGGGGCGTTTTAGACCAATTTAAGACTAGACTTGACGTTTCCCTCAAATAACTTGTATAAAATTTATTACCTTAAAAGTAAATTAGGTTTACATAAGATCGTGGGGACTAATCTTCATCTCAAGATGATATTAATTCGGCTTTAAGACGCCTCCCGACCATCTAGCACAGTACATTTACTTGGAAGGTTAAGTGGAGCAATGCGTGAACTATAAATTTCATCCATCTGAAGCTTCCCACCTGAATCAATGTACGAATGGAATCTCGAGCCTAGAGCAAAGAATTATTTGTAACTGTTCATTGATTCTCTTACAAGGAAGCTGTAGTGAACGTCTCCCCTACAACTGCGTAGCCACGCCACCACCTGATACCGCCTTCCCTAGCAACCAACCAGATGTTACCGTATCTTAGCAACGGAACTAGTCACGGGCGACTTTCTGGGTTTTCCCAACATGATTCATAGAGGATTGTCGGCTGCTGCTGGGTATATAAGCTGTCTCTCCATTGAGATTGATTCTGACCATTCTTCTTGAACAAGCAACACCACCTCCTCCTCCGCCGCTGCCTGGCAGCCCTCGCTTCTCCTCGCCTGCCTGGTGGGCCTCGCTCCGGCCAGTGAGCATGGCGACCCACCAGCTGTCCTTCTCTGAGCTTCCTCACCAACCAGCTCTCATTCTGCCCATCTTCCTGAACAAGCAACACCTCCTCCAGCAAGCTCCACGCTGGCACCTCCAGCACCAGACTGTCTATCATATAACTTATATTATACAAGAAAACCACATTAGAGTTTCCTTCCTTCCATCCTGAGTGCTAGACAACATTAATACATCGATACCCCCTACAAAGCCATACTAAACTTAATATGCCTTACCAGTGAGGATAGTGGGGTATGTATCCTTACTGCTCCTGGTGTCCATAACCACTTTGTCAAACCTGCACACGAGTCCACCTGGTCCCATAACTCGTCGAAAGCCGGCAGTTTAGGTGGCCGAATTTACTGTTGAATACATAGATGTGTGGTCATAATACAACCGACTCTATACTTGTTAAAGTAAATACTCCATCAATTCTTGTCTTTGTACCCCATGCGCTTTCTCATCCTTTTTAATTCCATGTTTCCCTTACCAATTCATAATCGGTATAAATGAAAAGGTGGTAATTCAGTGGCCAGTAATTATGGTGGAAGACCCACTTAGTGAATACCCGAGGTTGGAACAATTCTGTATTTGAGGCCAGATTCCTGCTACCACAATGATCCGAAATGGGAGGATAAACAAGGAAACTAGAGTCCATAAGATATAATTTTTGTACCAAAAAATTATATCTTAAAGTAAATACCTCCTACATCAATGTTTGTGATATACATTCAGAAAGAACTAACAGCAAATACTTGAGGTAAAAACAAACATTTACTGGTATAGCAGTAATGAGTGTATCTCTCGTCACTATATAGTACTGTATATATATCATGGGTTTGAGTCCTGGCTGAGACACATGAGAAGGGTGTTATCCAGTGACACTCCCAAATATTACAGATTTCTTCCTGTATGAACACTTAACACTAGTGTTCATAACAAATTAAAAAAAGAACAGACCAGACCAACTGACCCAGCAGCTAATAAACTTAAGTGGTGGAATGACAAATTAATACAGTATTCTTTTACTACAGGAGAAATCACAATAAAACTCAACCATTTTAACCCATTGAGTAACGCAATGTATCACGCACTAACACACACACACAGCCACAACAACCAATATATATATACCAAACAAAACCAGTGACATCAAATCAGCTTATGATACAACTACCATGAACTGCCCAGTCAGCCATAAATTCACTTCACAGCTTTGCAAGGATAAATTTACATCATTCGGAAATGCCAATACACAGAGCTATAATGTATATATATATATATATATATATATATATATATATATATATATTCACTTCAAGACTGAATAGTTAAAGGGTCAATATACCCTAGTTATGAATAGTCCTAAACCACACGATTTTAAACCATTAAATTCAAGTGAGTTAAGATTGGGGCCTATCTGACCAATCAAAAAGGAACAGGAGAGGACCAGCTGGGTTATGATTGGGTAATGATTAGTTAAAATCTCACTAGGGATGCGATAACACAGAGTGGTGCCCCTGGTGTGTGTGGGTAGAGTGGTGCCCCTGGTGTGTGGGTAGAGAGGTGCTGCTGGTAAGTGGGTAGAGTGGTGTCCCTGGTGTGTGGGTAGAGTGGTGCCCCTGGTGTGTGGGTAGAGAGGTGCCCCTGGTGTGTGGGTAGAGTGGTGTCCCTGGTGTGTGTGGGTAGAGTGGTGTGCCCTGGTGTGTGGGTAGAGAGGTGCCCTGGTGTGGGTAGAGTGGTGCCCCTGGTGTGTGGGTAGAGTGGTGCTCCCTGGTGTGTGGGTAGAGTGTGTCCCTGGTGTGTGTGGGTAGAGTGGTGCCCCTGGTGTGTGGGTGGGGGTGCCCCTGGTGTGTGGGTAAGTGGTGTCCCTGTGTGTGGGTGAGATGTGCCCTGGTGTGTGGGTAGAGTGGTGTCCCTGGTGTGAGGGTAGAGAGGTGCCCCTGGTGTGGTGGGTAGAGAGGTGCCTGTGGTGTGTGGGTAGAGTGGTGTCCCTGGTGTGTGTGGGTAGAGTGGTGCCCTTGGTGTGTGGGTAGAGTGTGTGCCCCTGGTGTGTGGGTAGAGTGGTGTCCCTGGTGTGTGTGAGGTGTCCCTGGTGTGTGGGTAGAGAGGTGTCCATGTTGTGTGGGTAGAGAGGTGTCCCTGGTGTGCAGGTAGAGTGGTGTCCCTGGTGTGTGGGTAGAGAGGTGTCCCTGGTGTGTGGATAGAGTGGTGTCCCTGGTGTGTGGGTAGAGAGGTGCACCTGGTGTGTGGGTAGAGTGGTGTCCCTGGTATGTGGGTAGAGAGGTGCCTCTGGTATATGGGTAGAGTGGTATCCCTGGTGTGTGGGTAGAGAGGTGTCCTTGGTGTGTGGTTAGAGTGGTTCCCCTGGTGTGTGGGTAAAGAGGTGTCCCTAGTGTGTGGGTAGAGAGGTGCCCATGGTGTGTGGGTAGAGAGGTGCACCTGGTGTGTGGGTAGAGTGGTGCCCTGGTGTGTGGGTAGGTGGTGTCTCTGGTGTGTGGGTGAGAGGTGCACCTGGTGTGTGGGTAGAGAGGTGCCTCTACAGAGTGGTGCCCTGGTGTGGAGAGTGGTGTCCCTGGTGTGTGGGTAGAGAGGTGCCGCTGGTGTGTGGGTAGTGGTGTCCCTGCTGTGTGGGTAGAGGTGCCCCTGGTGTTTGGGTAGAGAGGTGCCCCTAGGGTGTGGGTAGAGTGGTGCCCCTGGTGTGTGGGTAGAAAGTTGCCCCTGGTGTGTGGGTCAAGAGGTACCCCTGGTATTCTCTCCCCCCTCCTTCTCAGATGGGTCTACCTACAGCAACACAAAGGCTTCAGTTTGTGTCTTGGGAAGTCAATGGGTAATGCAGTGTGTGTGTGTGTGTGTGTGTGTGTGTGTCCTTAATTGTGGGTGTCGCTTTAAATCAATAATTTTAAATTGGATAACTTGAAATAGATGTTCTACTTACATAGAAGAAAGTTAGAGGAAAAAGGATGTGGATATCAGGTTGGAGAGCAGATGATTAGACATACAGTACAATAAGGTGAAGGGAAGATACTGAATAAGGTAAGAGGTAAAAGTATGAGTAGTGGAAAATGATTAGAATATATCGAGGAGGGCAAGGAATGCTGGGCAAAGGAGTGGCTCAAGGGCAATGTGCAAGGAAGGGACTGAGGAGGGAGGTAAGGGAGAGGAAGGTCCGTAGCTAGGCACGTGACAAGACAAGGTCAACATTTGATGTAATAAAACCACATCTTTATTTATCCATTGTTTTATTGCTTAAATTGTTCCATTTCTTATGCTACTCTAGCATTTACTACATCATAGTACAGTATATTATACCTACAACAACTGTCTATCATAGTATAAATGGCATAATACAGTACAAACCACACATCCACACTTTGGCGCTTAGATTTCATTATGATTTACAGTTTTGTCAAAAAATTTCTATAGATAATAAAGTGGCGTGTTGTGTCACACGGACAAGCCACCCGAGATCTGTGTTGGGAGGAGCACTGCATGACACTCAGGGGACTCTACTGTACTGGCTGTACACGTCACAATGAAAAGCATAAAATCTAATTTAAATTTTTTCATAATAATTACATGTAAATGCACGAGTTTATTGGAGTTTTCGATGTAAAGCAGCATATGGGTGTCAAAACATAATTACCCAATGGCAATCTTTGTTTATTATTACCTGGAGGTATGTCATCATAAATAATATAGCAGTATTAAACAATAGAAAAAATACATTAATGTACTGTACAGTACGTATATGATTTGTAATTGAACATGAAAATAAAACGACAAGCCGAATCAGGTTATTTCTTCCCTGACCAATGATCTCTCTCCACAAAGGAGAGAGGGGGGGGGGAGGGGCGTTCGAGGACTGGGTGTTGCCGCATTGACCAGTTTTTATTATATTTATTCATTACAATACAGTACTGATACATTACAAAAGTAATGTCAATAACTAAAATGAATAAAACTGCTACATTTGAGGCTAAATAAGCACAAAAAAATCACTTTGCTGTATTAATGCTATACTACTACCCACAGTTTTCTGCATAAGATCACATTTCAACCAACCACACAAGTTTTTATTCTACATGTGAGATCCACGTAAAATTAAACCCCACTGTACTGTTCAGTATATGAGAAAATATGTCTTGGTCTGAGAAAATACTTTAGTTGTAGGATTATGTCATGCACAATAAAAAAATATAGATGATTATTTTATTAAACTTTTGGATTTATAAACAAGAGAACTATGAACAGTAATACCATTTCCACTTCCCATCTGTGGTACAGTTGAGTTACAAGACATAATTGAACCTAAGGACAAAAGTAGTTTGAATATAACTACTTATATGAGTTGTCTGCCATAAGTTGTCATGGAAACTATTTTTCATAACCTTGCCCTTTGACTTTGAAATCAACAAGATTCATTCTTACCCAAGGAGAACACATCTTACATTTCTTAAGATGAACACTAAATTCCATACAGCAACTGAAGTTATATGCTGAAACCACTGACTTTTGAACTCCAAATAGAAAAGGATCTTTCTTGCAAAAGAAAGACCCACATGTTTGATGAATGTGCACAAAACAAAACTCAAGTTATACCGAATTTACTATTTTCCAGTCAATTCCTTGAATGACTCTGACCTTATGATCCCAGAATGAACACAGTTATTCTTTACCCCAGGGAGAACATTTAGAATTTAATGAACCTAAATGATATCTCTTACCCCCCAAATTAATAAAGTTCTTCCTATCAACATATGAACACTTGCACATTTGATTAAGAACTTAAAACTGCTTTTGAGATACTAGACAAACTGGAACTCCCTTGCCACCCTGATAGACTACAGGATTATGGACTACCCTGCCACTGGTGGTGGGCACAACACAGTACGAGGTCTGTCCAAAAGGAAACCAAACTTTTAAATAGCGCGTCAACGAACCGGCGCAGCGTGCTCACGATGGGAGCACTGTGTAGCGGTGATTTTGACCTTTAGTCTAACACTAGCCGCATCATGCCACGTCAATTAGTCATCGAGCTACACGTGCTAGTGAACGTGTGTTTAGTGCACTTGGCGATTTGTTGCAAGTTGAACAATGAAGGATCTTGAAGAGCAACGTGTTTGCGTGAAATTCTGCTTTAAATTGGAAAAAACTTTTAAGGAGACTTTTCAAATGTTGCAACAGGCTTATGGGGAGGATTGTTTGAGCTGTACGCAATGTCAAGTGTGGTACCAGCGTTTCGAAAGGAGAAGAACATCCACCGAAGACGATCCCAAATCTGGAAGTCAGAGTCGCTCAAATGTGGAGGTGATGTTGATGGTCTTTTTTGATTGGCAGGGCATCGTTCATCATGAGTTTGTTCCACGTGGTCAGACAGTCAATAAAGAGTTTTACTTGGAGGTCCTGAAGCGTTTGAGGGAGGCAGTGTGAAGGAAGAGGCCTGAGGCGTGGACAAACAAGACCTGGATGCTGCACCACAACAATGCACCTGCTCATACGTCGCTCCTTATCCGTGACGTTTTGGCGAAGCACGAGACGACTATTGTCCCCCGCCGCCCTACTCTCCGGATTTGTCCCCTGCGGATTTTTTTTTGTTCCCAAAGTTGAAATCCACCCGGAAAGGTCGCAGCTTTCAAATGATAAAGAGATAAAAGAAAATTCGCTACGAGACCTGCACACCATCCCCCAAAACTCGTTCCAGATGCGTTCCAGAACTGGAAAAAACATTGGGAGCGGTGTATCAACAGTAGAGGGGAGTACTTTGAAGGAGACATGTCTGATTAAGTTGTAAGTAAAGCAATAAATTTGTTTTTTTAAAAAGTTCTGTTTCTTTTTGGACAGACCTCGTATAAATAGATGATAAAAAAAAAGTTACTTATCTTTCTAGTGATAAATACTGCATATAAATTACAACTCAACAATAATTCATATTATTTAGCATATACATGTAAAAAAAAATTGGTTTGAGAAAATTATTTTGGGGATTTAACAAATGACTGTCTGGTTATCTTTACAAAAATGTATATACAGTTTACAAACCACAGTACAGTACTGTGGAAATTTTTTAAACTAGTTACTGGCATGATCTGCCTTTGCCTGGGCTATTTTAGCCTCTTCATTATACTTCTTGTGCCAATCTTCGTTCATCTTGATCACAGACTCGCCCCTTTTTTGAGCCCTTTTCCCAGCGTAGACCATAGCCAGGCAGCTCAACAGAGTTGCAACACACATCATGATATTAATCTTGATCCTCGCTTTGTTACGGGCACGTTCCAGGACATCCTGACTGTGAAGGAAAGTCATACACTGTACTGGAGTAAAGTTCACATACTGTACCATGAATTAAAGCCCCGTTTCCCAACCCTGGGGTCGCCAAGCGGTTTTTTTAGGGTCGCGAAGCAGTTCTGCCACTTCATGGAAAATTCCCACAAATCTGTAGGAGAAATAGGCATATGTGGGAGGTGTTGAATGAAATTTGATGGATTTTGATATAAATCTGTGGGATTTCATGGGAGAAATTAGCTAATGTGCATGGGAATTTTCGGTCTTAGAAGTGGCAACACTGTCGCCAAGCCCTACGCCGTCCTACGTGCATCATACAGGTTCAGTTCCCGAATCTGAGATGTTGCCAGCATATATTTATATGTTACTACTAAAAACAAGTATTTGCTGGATTCTCAGGTACAGTTACCCAAAAAAGTCCTGTCGCGAACCACGAACCCTGAGATTCAGACTCGTGAACCCGAAGCAGTAAACACTGATACATTATTCTGCCCATAAATGCTTCGGATTCAAGAGGCTGAATCTCGGGGTTCATGGTTCGCGACAGGACTTTTTTGGGTGACTGTACATAAAATACTTATCTAATATTGGTTGAATGATTTGGAGATATTGTTAAATACTGCTGATAAGGTGGCGAATTTTTACTTGCGTATTATTTCATAAATATAATGCAGTGCCCACTGTTACCGCCACAGTAGGATAAACTAGAAGGGAGGGAGAGAGAGAGGGATAGAGAGAGAGAAGGGGGGAGACAGGAGAGAGACAGAGGGAGTGTTGACAACGAGCTTTGCTGAGGTGTTAAGTGTGAAACAAATGTCCCTAGCCTCGGGCTGACTAGCTTGACTAGTCTCTAGCCATCCAGTGAGCCATCAAGTCAGGGAGTTATTAAGTCCTACATTAGACCCGAAACACATAAGTTTTATATAGTTTAACACCCCACTCTACTCAAATATATTATATGTAGTTGTTAATAGTGAAGGGATATACGATTGAATTAATTAACTCGTTTGTAACATATGTAATTTGTACTCTGCAAGTTTTGACTATAACCGCCCAATGAGCGACTGTGGGATAATGAGACCCTTGCACGTAGGACTCGAGTGTTCTTTATTCGGTCAAAACCTAAAGAGTACAAATTACATATGTTACGTACGAGATAATTAATTCAATCGTATATCCCTTCACTATTAACGACTACATATAATATATTTGAGTAGAGTATGGTGTTAAACCATATAAAACTTGACATTGGGTTTACGCTTCTCATCGATCATGGGGTCGAAAAACCTCAATGCATTATATGTGGCGAAGTGCTCGGCCACGAGTCGCTCAAAGAAAACAAGCTTAGGCGCCATCTCCAGGGAAAACATCCGACGCTGGTAGAGAAAGGCCGCCAGTACTTTAAGAGAAAAGAAGAACAACTGAAGCATCAGCGGTTAGACACCCCTATGAACGAAGCAGTGTTTTCTGTTTGGCAAGCAACAATTGCATCCTATCTGGTTGCAAAAAGAATTGCCAAGTGTAAACAACCATACACAATTGGGAAAATTTTGGTGAAGCCAGCAGTCCTTGATATGGTTCGCACTGTTATCGGAGATGATGCAGTGAAAAAGATTGAAACTATTCCACTGTCAAACAACACAGTTAGCCGACGGATTCAAGAAATGTCGGCAGACATCAAAGATTAAGTAGTGGCTGCCATCAAGGAGAGCAGAAAATTCAGCTTGCAGTTGGATGAGTCAACTGACGTCAGTGACGATGCACAGCTCTTGGTATGTGCGCGGTACCAAGGGAAGAGTGACATGGAAGAGAACTTCCTGTTCTGTAAACGACTGGAGATGACAACAACAGGTGAGGATCTGTTCAAGTTGGTTGACCTCTTCATCAAGGAAGAAAACCTAAGCTGGGATCAGAGTTTCAGTGTGTGCTCAGACGGAGCACCGGCAATGCTAGGGGCACGTCAGGGTTTTACTGCAAGGGTAAAACAAGTCAACCCGCAGTGATAGTGGTTCATTGTCTGCTCCACCGGGAAAACCTTGCCTCCCGGAAACTGTCACATGAGCTTAACTCTGTGATGGAAGATGTGATTCAAATAGTAAACTTTATTAAATCATCAGCTCTGAATTCAAGGCTGTTCAACCAGATGTGCTCTGATATGGGGTCGGAGTATGAACACCTGCTTTACTACTCTGCAGTCAGGTGGCCGTCTCGAGGGAAAGTGCTCCAGAGAATGTTTGAAATGCGTACACGGGTTGAAATCTTCTTGAACGAGAAATAACACGCACTAGCATCAAGGCTTTCGGAACCAAGGTGGTTGCTTCAGCTGGCATATCTGGCATATATATTCTCTGAGTTGAATTTGCTGAACATGTCCATGCAAGGAGGGGATGAAACTTATCTCACTTTGTCAGAGAAACTCAAGGCATTCAAGGCGAAGCCGAGAATGTGGAAAGGAAAGATTGAACGGGGGAAAGATGCTTCCTTTTCACTCTTGAACCTTTTTCTCGAAGACGTCTCACTTCTGGAAGTACAAAATATCATTGTTGAGCATCTTGAGAAGTTGAATGACAGTTATATTCTGAATGAAGAATTGCACGAGAAATACAAATGGGTGCGCAGACCCTTCGATGTCCAAGTCGAAGACCTCTCAGAAGAAGAGTCTTCCATTAGAAATCTCCAAGAGGAGCTCATCGAAGTACAACATGATGAAACTCTCCGCTTCAGCGACAGTCACTCGGCGTGATCTGGACTGCTGTTAAGAAGGAGATACTAGTCCTTGGAAGCGAAGCTGCGAATGTGCTATTGCCATTCGCTACTACTTAATTGTGCGAATCTGGGTATTCCGCTCTGGCTCTCATCAAAACAAAAAGCAGGAAGCGGTTACAACCTGAACATGATTTGAGAGTGGCACTTTTCACGACTGAGCCACGACTGGAGAAACTTACCAGCCAGGTCCAGGCTCAAGGCTCCCATTAGATGAGATTACCCAACTCTGATTTCGAAGTTGATCAGAGACATTTTCATTTTTAGTTAGTCTTTGTGGGATGTGACAAAACAATAATATTCCATCTCAACATTGAAGTACATATATAAACCAGTGGGGTCGCAGTCATGGCTAGAGGTGCATGATTGGGGTCGCTAGAAAAAAAGGTTGGGAACCACTGAATTAAAGAAACTGGAATTTTTGGTCCATGAACATTGGCTCCTTCAATACTACTGTACTATGTTAAAACCTACTGTACAAAGAGAAAAGTAAAACATTAAAGATAATATAAATGAAAATAGATAATAAATGGACTCACTCAGGACTGAGATGTACTCTCAGTACAGTATAGTCTGGGTTACACCGTTATTTTAAACGCGGACGGCCATTTACGCGGCACCTGTCCAGAAGCGATAATTATTATTTAAGCAATAAATGCCATCATATATGCGCCAAGCGGCGGGGCAAGGTGCTGGGCGCTGACGTCAGACAATATGGAGTGAATGAATCGACGATCCGCACGATCAAGAAGGATGCCGGCAAAATCAATGAACACATGAACATCACCAAGTCTGTAGGTGCCTCGCTGGTGAAATATTGCCACAATAAGGTGCTGCTGAAAACCGAGAGTTGTTTGGTAATCTACATTATTCATCAATCAAGAAGGAACATGGCGGTCGACATTCAGGCAGTGCAGGACTACGCCCGAGAACGCTATGTAGCAGTAGCAAGAAAAATGGGGGTCGCAGAGCCCAAGCCCTTCAGTGCTTACACTGGGTGGCTGCAAGGTTTTAAACGACGCAACAAGATCACAAATATTGAGATAGTCGGAGAAGGAGCAAGTGCCGATCGGGCTGCCGCCATGAATTTTCCCCCATTTTTACAGAAAATTATGGAGGAAGGACAGTACACCGACGACCAAGTGTTAAATACGAATGAATCAGGGTTGTACTGGAAGAAAATGCCATCCAAGACCTTCGTAATCAAGTCTGCGAACAAGTGTCGGGGGCGAAAAATGCAGGAGTGCATCACCGTACTGTTCACCACCAATGCCTCCAGCACTGCTAAGCTGAAGTTGTCTGTGATCCACAAAGCCCGCAAGCTGCATGCCTACAAGAATATGGACATGAGCAAGTTAAATGTCCACTGGCTAACCTCAGGGAAGGCGTGGATGTTCTCTGGTCTGTCCCTCTCCTGGTTTGACAACTGTCTCGTTCCTGATATCAAGAAATTCTGCGTGGAAAATAATGTGCCATTCAACATTTTGTTGCTACTTGACAACGCACCAGGACACTCGCCCCTTTTGCTGGATCGTCACCCCAACGTAAAGGTGGTATTCCTTCCCTCTAACACTACGTCGTTAATCCAGCCCATGGATCAGGAGTTGATTTGCAATGAGAAGGCTGCTTTCTCCACCAAGAAGTTTCGGCTCCTAAACGACTTCAACAACATCAAGGATGAACTGCAGAACCTAGAGCAGGGGTTCTCAACCAGGGGGAAACTGATACTAATATGGAAAAAATAAAGGATTTTCAGTATTATATGCATATTATTTGGAATGCACTTTTTGAGGCAGACAATCTTGGAAAGGAGGGGGGAATGACATTCTGACATATGGTGAAAGGAGTGCATGGTTGAGAACCACTGACCTAGAGAGTGGCACCGATAGCGAGGACGAGGAAAACGAACAAGATTTGGCGGACCATGAAGTGCGGGTCAAGCAGTTCTGGAAGCTGTTTAACATGAAGAAGGCTGTTGATTTCTTGGTGGAGGCATGGGGGCAGCTGCCTGTGGCAGCGATTCGGCAGGACTAATTTAAAAGTTTGTGTCCAACATTCCCGAAATAAGTCTCTTTGTGGGCAGGTATGTAAATGTTGAAGAACCCAGAAATCTTCAAAATTGCTTTTTGATGAAATCAGTTAGCCAATTTTGATGATACAGCATAAGTGGACATGAAAATAAAACCAAATCTCATACGTACTTAAAATAAACCCTGTACAGTATTATCGTGAACAGAGAAAATATAAGCTTACTTTACAAGATCTGGAACTTCTTGGACAGTCTTGTACTTTCCTCCCCATACTAATAAATACTTTTCAAATTTATTGACCCGGTGATCCGTCAGTCCTGAAAGGAATTTAAAAAGTTTTAACATGTTAAGGACTTTAGAAGGCAGGAATGAATTTCAATACCCACCAAATGATATATGACAGGATACTGTATGTATTGTACACTATATAGTTAATGACAAGGAAGCAAATGTGACAACTGTAAAGGATACTGTAATGTGTTACAGGAGCTGATGGTGTGGAAGAAGCAAACCTGATAATTATTTAGGTAAAATTTTACAATGATTGCAGAGAAGTTGGTGGTATGGGGAGAAAATCTGGTACAACAGTTGTAACGGCAAAACTTTACAGTACTGTATTAAATGGTGGGTGCACCAGCCAAGTTGATACAATACAGTACAGTACTGTCCTTCCCTCCAGTCTTACGGATTACTGTGTACTGGTTTGCCTCCTGGGCACACCCAGTCCATTCAGCATCCAATTTAACAATTGGGGAAGTGAAGGTGATTATTTGTAGTGCCACCTAACTGAAGGCTTAGTATCCAGTGTGTTGTATCCACAATGCCCAAAATAGGCTTTCAGACCTATGAGATCCATTTTTATTAAGGTGGGTGGATTGAGGAATAAATCTCATAGTTCTATAGAGACAACTTGATACTGTATGAGGAGAAGCTGGTGGTCTGATTGGAGGAAGAGTAATCTTGATCTGAGCTAATATAACAGGAGCACATTTACCAATCCTGAGTAACATGTAATAAATTGTTGATGGACAGTTGGCAAAATTGGTGGTGAAAAGAGTGAAATGGATATTGTGTATACATTATTTTGTGTTATGATTCATCATTTATGCTCATTCTCTTCCATTTATCAGAAGCTCTCTGTCACATACTTTTCTTCATATTCACTTCCTCCCTGGCCTCATAGTTCCGCATGCAGCTGATAAGATAAGTGTTGTATATATTATCTCTGTTGCATACACACACACACCTAGACTGACAAATAGAGATATACACACACACACATACAAAGCCACTCAGTCACTCAACCATACACACTTAGGGTAACTCCCTTATTGAATATACTAATGTGATAATGCTTAATGGCATACAAATATTGTCACCTACATAATTATAGGTACATAAAACAATGGTATACATTAAAATTTTATTTTACTTTGGGCAGAAATGGCATCAGGAAGGTCCAATGTGCCAGAGGTGATAACCAACCGAGGTAGGATTGTCTGGATGTGGGAGAGCGGCAGAACAGTTACTGACATAGCCGCTGCTATGGGGTGCCATAGAAACAATAGGGGAAATGAATAAAACATTGGGAGGAATAAGTCGTAGTGACCGGCAGACCAAGAAGTGGGAGGCCACGTTGCTTGACAAGAGAAGAGGACAAAGTAGAATGTGTACATGATTGTCCGCTGAACCCCGTGGTGCAGTTAACTCAAGAACTACAGCTACCTCAAAGACAACCCCTGGTCACTGCTCCGAAGAGAGTTGTGCGGACAATAACGTACTTGAAAAAAATTACAACGCTAACAAACAATTTTCTTTATTGAAAAAGTTAAAATTCCAGGATATTAACACTTACTGCTGCGCTCTATTTGTTTATAAATTTGTTAATCACTTGATTGAGAATAATTATTTCCAGTTCCGGAATAACAAGAGGTACGGTACAACATAAGACACCCAGAGCTATTAATAGCCCCATGTGCTCCACTCAGTCCCAGACCTCCATACAATATTATGGTGTGAAGGTGTGGAACAACTTACCCCCACCCATCTGAGCAAAACTATGCTCCCTGCCTTTAAATCATCTCTTAAAAAATATCTTGTGTCAGTATTAATATTTTTGCAACACTTTACACTCTCACTTTTATTGTACCATCCAGACCATTATATCATATAATGTCACATAGATGGAATTACCATTGCAATAATTATATATCTGCCATCAAGACATGATCGAAACTGTGTCTGTCCCCTTGTTTCACCTTAATGCAACCCATGATGTATTGCTTCCCTCACTTATCAGATTGCTGTATATCAACTCCACTATAAAATATGTACTGTTCCTATATACTGTACCTATAATATAAACGTAAATAAAAAAAAATAATAATTAATGAAATAAGTGATAATCGGAGTAACATTCTCATATGTATTTACTAAAACCATGTTATGTATACTAATTCAGATGATACTAAATGTTACATAATAATTCCTTGAGGTAAATGCACAGTACTGTAATGTATATATCAGATGCCACTATGAGAGCTCAGGCTCTCAATTAGCTCAACCACTCTGTATCTGTATTTTTCTGGCTAAATAAACGATTTCAATATCGATACACAAGAGAAGAGGTCACTGCTATAATGTCCAGATTGCTCAATGGCAGCAACAGTTTCCAGTAAAAATGCCTAAAATTTGGTTAACACAAAAGCAGACATTAAATAGACTAAAACAATTAAAATACCTGCCACATTGATGCCAAGTAAAGGAGGAGATGCTCAGCACCAAAATGCATTTATGTATACACTTGTATTTTGTTCATAATTTCCAGTTATACTGTGGATGATATATACCGTAGAGGGAACAGGGTATTTATAATGAAAATAAAAAGTTGTTGTATAGATTTTTTCTTAATATCATCCACAGTATAACTGGAAAATATGAGCAAAAGACAAAATATATATATATATATATATATATATATATATATATATATATATATATATATATATATATATATATATATATATATATATATATATATATATATATATATATATATATATATATATAAATGCATTTTGGTGCTAAGCATCTCCTCCACATTTACCAAACCTTGTATCTCATTGCTGGGTTGAGAAGTCTGTGTTTTCTCTATATTACCCAAAATTTACAATGAAAGTGTAGGTATGCAATGTACAGTACATAGACAATGTTGCCATACAAACAATAGAAATTAGTAATCAGGAACAGTACTCGGCTTCAAATTAGCCCATAACATGACTACCAAGAACACTGAACGGATCCTACACAGACCAGTAGCCTCCTTCCCTCAGCATGTTCAAATCTAGCTTGGGTAGGAATACAGTCCAACTCGGCCCACTACCAACTTGGCCCACATCCAACTTGGACCATCAAATACCAACTCGGACCATCTCGGCTAACCAACTCGGACTAAATAGTAAAATTTTACATACCGGGTATTTATTTTTGCATGAATGATAAAAGTACAAAAGTACAATGATAAAAAGCAGCATAGATGTACAAACATTCCCGATAAACAGTCATGTGATGTGTGTAGCCATTAAATAAAAAATTAAAAAAATACTTAAAAGTTTACCCTTTAATCTATGCATGAATGATAAACAGCAGCATAAAAGTACAAATATTACTCATAAAGTCACGAGATCTGAGGTTGACGAGTTCTACAACAATGTACCAACAGAGGGTGACATCACTTCACCTGGTGACCTGACAACGATAAACTCACAAAATAAGGCAGTTGAGAATGACCTGATGACGGATTTGAGGTTGACGAGTTCCACAACAATTTAAATAATGAGTAACTTCATGCACAAAGGCAGAACATACAATACAGAAAACTCAAATCAAATAACAATGACCCCAAATGGAAAAATAATTGCAGTACTTAAAGATTATTATTGGACAAAGGAAGGCTATAAGGTTGGAGAATAAATCGTGGTGAAATTTACCTCCGAGATTATTATAAGGTATTGGCCAGATGGGTTAAGACCGAGATAAAAAAAGCAAAGAGAATAATGAACTGAAGGTAGCAAGGGAGGCGAAGTCAAACCCCCAAGGGATTCTTTCAAATGTATCAAACTAAAACACGAGACAGGATTGGACCAATGCAGTCAGGTACCGGCAAGCTAACTGATAATGACAGAGAAATGAGCAATAAACTGAACAGATGTTTTTCAACAGTTTTCACCACCGAAAATTTAAACATGGTACCTGAGGCACCGACTCTATGCAGAGATAGTGAAGAAAACAAATTAAGCGAGATAGTAGTGACTAGTAACGATGTTAGTAAGCAAATAGACAAGCTAAGGCCTAATAAGTCACCAGGTCCCAATGAGATATTTGCCAGAGTATTAAAGGAATGTAAGGAAGAGCTTACCTGTAGTATGCCCTTTGCAAATTTTTTTAACATTTCCTTAAAAACGGGTGTAGTACCAGAATCCTGGAGGATAGTGAATGTAATACTGACTTTCAAGAAGGGAGATAGATCACTATCCTCTAACTACCGTCCAATCAGTTTAACATCAACTGTAGGCAAATTACTGGAAGCAATAATTTCAAACTCTATTCAAAATCACGGTATTATTTTACTTTCGGACAGAGTGCCCCGAAAGTTATAAATTACTGAAACATTTAGTTCCCGCTATTCTGAGCATTTTGAACCCCCTATATATATACATGCCGGAAATGGATAATAGCGACACAATTGAATTGATTTAGTTTTCAGTCTTCGTCTGTGAGGAGATGTTATGTTGACTGACGTCATCCAGTGGTGATCAATGAGGAATCAATATTATCATGCAAATTTTTTTCTACCAATCACATTTGATTTTCTCAAAGGAAGCAGCCTGGGTATGATTTTAATTTCATTGACCAGTTTCACAATGGCCGTGGTGGAGGTTGGTTGTCGTTTGTTCTCCTATGGTTATTTTAAGTTTATTTCCGAGTTTTACGAGAAGGACGATTATTCTATCCAATTCTTATGTATCCCTGGTCCTTCCCTCTTCTAAGGTATTGTACTTTCAGACAAAGCGCGCCCCAGTTTTTAGCAACTGAAATATTTAGGCTAGTTTAAGCTAAGCCTACCAGGAGTCCGCCCCTGGCTAGGAGTCAGGTTAGGCCTGCTGGGGGTCTGGGGGCAGAGCCCCGGCTAGGAGTTAGGTTAAGTTTTGTTAGGTCAGATAACTCGTTTTTGTTTTCTCCCCCACCCAAAAACCCTGATTTCTCAGGCTCTCCCCCCATTATTGTTGGGGGGGGGACTAGTAATTTCTGCAAAAATTAAGGTCAGATTGGTTAAACACACCAAAATACACTGGAAAAACATATTGGTCAACCCCTAGGGACTCGTGTCCTAAAGTAAAAATTGGGTATTATTGCGTTTACACACCGTTCATTCCTGCCACTAATCCATTATCATATTCTAATAAGACGTCTAATTATAAGATAATTTTAATCTATTACATTACCAGTGGAAATGTATAATAACGGAGATAGCATATCCAAAATTTTCTCTATTTTCTTGCATTAATCTTCCGCCATTATCGCCTGCCTCACCTCCAACACTGCGTGTCTCCTGCATCTCCTTCATAAATCATCACTCGCATGCGTTCCTGTACACGTCACGCGGCCAATCAAAAGCGTTTTTGTTTTTGCAACCAATTAAAATGATTTTGGGTTTAATTCGCGGTATATTTCGCCCAATCAAATTTAAATTTTATTTTGGGTCTCATATTTCAAAATTTAAGTTCAGTTCCGACCATGGAAGTCTGCGATGGGTGTTACTTAAATTATATGGAGCTGATTGCGAGTTTTTGGGAAAAAACGAAGAAACTATAGCATTTTTCCGATCGAATGGTGTTCTTCCAATCTCAGTAAAGTGTACTAAGAGCAAGACAATGTAAATATTGCAAAGACCAACATATGTGGCGTTGTGTAAGAATCTCAGAATCCAACGACGAACAAGATCCAGGCCAATAAGGTAAGAAATACAGGTTTGGTAAATGTGGGAGATGCTTAGCATAAAATGCATTTTATGTATGTATATATGTATGTGTATATATATGTATATAAATGCATTTTGGTGCTAGCACATTACCAAACCCAGCCCATCAAGCGGTGGTGGGAGGACAGGTTGGTTCTGGAGGATAGTGAATGTGTTTCCAGACTAGTGCCAGTGAAGAAGACAGAATCAACGACAGGCTGAATCCAGGCCAACAAAAGATATGATTCCATCATATGGTGAGAGTCAGTTAAGTTAGGTTAGGTTAGGTTTTTCTAGTGTTTTTGGTGTGTTTTGCCATGATTTTTTTTGAAAAGTAAATAAAAAAATTCGATAAAAAAAAGGCTAATTTCCGCCAGAGATGAAGGTTATTATTCGGTCTAAACACACACAAATACACTAGAGTAATATACTTTTTACTTTCCAACAGAGAACAGTGTGACAATGCAAATTTGCAAAATTTACCAAAAATCACCTGGAGCAGCACAAGTCAAGAATGTGAATCATGGTTCACTGATCAAGCTCTACCAACATAAACTCATAAAATTTGTCCTTCATACAGATTGAACCCTCGGTATTCACTCATTCACACTCTTAGTATTTCAGTAAACCAAAAGAGACATTAAACAGATCTCAAGCTGTTCCTGAACCTCTAGTCAGTGATTTGTTTGAAGTGTATAATTAGGCATTACAGTAAGTAAATAAGAGTACTGTACTATATAAAAGATCTCCTTAGCTCCAACATTACCTTCTTCACTCCATTTATCTTATAAGTTTAGTTCTACTCTTCACTATTCCCTTACCTAATTTTCCTCTCGGTCTAGAAGGTGGTGGCGGCGCCTCACTCGTCTTGGGTTGTGTTGCCACAGTAGATGTCTCTTTTACTTCCACCATCAGTACTGAAGCCTCTCCTACTTACTACAAATGCTGGGTAATTTAGTAAAGATTGCCTTTGTGCTGGTAGTCTGGACAGAAGACAGGTGCAGTAGAGCAACATCTTCACAGCAGTAACTTCCGTCTACTGAGGCTACACTCAACATTAACAGCTGATCGACCATGACTGTTGGCTGGCTCCTGAAAGGGACAACACCCGCTAGCTAACACAAATTATAATCTCTTATTAATCTACGCAGCTTACATATACCGGTGAATCTTAAGAATAAAAAAATATTGTATTGCAAATCGAATAAATTTACTATAATTAACTTATTTTGATTTATTTAATGCAGTTATAGTTTTATGTGTGTTATTTAGGTATATCGTTAGGCGCGCGGGTCGGTTCGTGTTGCGTCTCTGTAACATAAACTTGTTCAGCATTCGGGCTCGTTGTTGAGAGAATGGACAGTGATTACATAAGATCATCAAGATTGTCTTTGTGATGTGAAAGTGTAAATCGAGTTGGAGGTACAGCCCAGGTCAAGAGGCCGACAACCACAAAATCATTGCCATATGACAAAGCGTTTATTTATTTTTTACGGAGTTGTGGTCACGGCTGTGATAAAGGCCAACCAGGGAGTGTTGTACTGTGCCTTTAGTGAAAATTCACAGTGTCATCAGTGACCGCGGTTCCTAGCCTCTCTTGGTCCCTGTTCACCTAGCAGTAAAGTAGGTACCTGCTGTAAATCGAAAAGTTGCGAATTCGTATTCAGGGAAAGTTGTTGGAGCTTCCAATAACTTGCTGACAAAAACCTATGACTTCAGGCTTCTACGCCCTTGACAAAAACTGACCCTGTAGTGGATTTCTCCCCTACAAACGCTGTTTGTCGCTGAGTAGCCGACCCCAGATTCCCCGAGCCTCGTGGTCTGGGTCAACCAGCGCCGCCTTACATGACGGAGGTCAACTACTAAGCCACGCCTACCTCCCTATAGAAGACCTGACCTCGTTGACCACCTTTTCTACCTACACCAACCAGCAAGTAACACCACCTCCTCACTCCTGCTGGCGGCCTCTCGCTCCCGCCAGGCTGCCCTTCGCTGCCTGTCCTTCTCTGAGCATCCTCACCAACCAGCTCTCTCTACATCACGTGGCAACCATGCTGCCTTCCCAGCACCAGCTGCACTGTACATCAATACAACATGTTTACAGAGAGGCACATTGTGAGTTTCCTTTCTCCATCCCATCCTGAGTGTGAACCCAAACATCCCATACCCCACAAATGGTGAGAATTCGCACTACACAGGATGGAGGAAACCCGATCACTCTCCCAGTCTTCAAGCAACATGGAAGAACTGGCTTACCCACACAGAGGCAGCTCTCATCGGCTCTACAGCTACTGTCTCTACACCGCAGGTTAGACACCCCTAGAGCAGCACTGCTACTCTCAGCAGACAGCCGCTCTCTTCCTGCCCCAAGCACCACGTTCTACCGACCCCAACACCCGTCCTGCCTCAGACGCCGCCCCCGGCCCAGCAGTACCCCCCTGCGCTCCTCCTAATGCAGCCCCTGCTCCCGATGCGGCCCATGCGCCTGAGTGCGGACTTACACCCCCCTCTTTTCTCCCTCAGGTAGACCCTGCTGCTGTCATGCACCCTGCTGCTGTCACGGACTCTCCTCCGCTCCTGCTGTCCAGCCCCTGCTCCTGACCCACACACCCCAGCAGGCGCATCTGACGACTGTACCTGCCGTGGATCTACATGATATATATATATATATATATATATATATATTACACACAGAAAACGCATTGTGAGTTTCTATTCTACCTCAATCCTGAGTGTTAGATATATTACATGTACGTACGTTGTGAGCACATATAAAGAGAATTTGACAACCTACAACAATACGCTACAATAGCACAAAGAGATGATATTGGCACGGGAACAACATCAGCAGTGTCTTCAATCTTCGTGTTGACAATATCAGCCGACAGGCTAGTGTTGTGGTTGATAGAAACAATGTATGTATTCTAGGCGATTTCAACTTTTCAGGCATAGATTGGAAAAATCAACTTAGCGATAATGAATCTGAAGATTTTCTAGAAGTAGTACAAGATAGTTTTCTATATCAATTCATAAACTCGCCCACTAGAGGAAATAATATCCTCGATTTAGTTCTCAGTAATAATGAAAATCTAGTAAAAGATGTTGGAATTGGAGACGAACTAGGAAACAGTGATCATAAAGCCATATATTTTAACATAATATGGGATGGCAGGAAGAAGGAAAATTCGGCCTTGATCCCGGATTTTAGGAAGGCTAATTACGGTAGCTTAAGGAGAGACCTAAGGGATGACCCTATGGTCAAAAGATTAATCCCCCCCACACCTCCGGAAACTGTCAACTTAGGACGGGATAACCCCGAATTTAATTTAGCAGCTACTTATGAACAATTTATTGCGACAATCAATAATGCCCAAAATAAACACATCTCTAAAAGAAAATTCAGATCGATACGGAACCAACCAAAATGGATGAATAATAGACTCTTAGATCTTCTAGGGAAAAAGAAAGGAGTATATAGAAAAGTTAAGAAAGGCGAAAATCACTTACTTGGGTACTATCAGAACCTAACAAGACAGGTAAAAACAGAAATTAGGAAAGCAAAGAGAAATTATGAAATCAAGGTAGCAAACGAATCGAAAAATAACCCCAAAGCTTTTTATCAACTGTATAAATCAAAGGTTAGAGATACAATAGGTCCCCTTAAAACTACGACAGGAGAAATGACTGATGATGAGTTAGAAATGTGTAGTACGTTAAATAGTCATTTTCGCTCCGTATTCACAAATGAAAACCTAGCACAGCTCTTGTAGTTCATAAGGTATATAACGACAGTATAGAAAAATATGTTGATGAATATCAATATTACTAGTAACGATGTGCTTAAAGTAATCTACAAACTGAAGCTCATAAATCGCCTGGTCCAGACGAGGTATATGCTAGAATATTAAAGAATGTAGAGATGAGCTGAGTAATCCATTAGCAGTTTTATTTAATAAGTCATTAGAATCGGGCCTAGTGCCAGAAGCTTGGAAACTTGCAAATGTAGTTCCGATTTTCAAAAAGGGTGATAAATCAATAAAGCATCAAATTACCATTCCCATTAGTCTCACGCCAATCAATATAAAAGTGTTGCTAGATCAATTATTGCTACAAAAATCAGAAGCCACCTTGAAACATTCAACTTAATTCATTCTTTCAAAGCATCGGGTTCACCTAGGACGCTCTTGTCTCACAAATTTGCTTAGCTTTTTCAGAAGCATATGAAGCGGTAGATAATGATAAGTCATATGATATAATTTATTTAGATTTCAGTAAAGCATTCGATAGAGTCCCTCATGAGAGATTGATAAGGAAGGTAGAAGCACATGGAATAAGTGGATCAGTATTAAAATGGATTAGGTCATGGTTAACTGGTAGGAAACAAAGAGTCAGCATAAATGGATTAAAGTCAGACTGGGGTGCGGTCAAAAGCGGAGTTCCCCAGGGATCTGTATTAGGCCCTCTGCTGTTTGTTATATTCATTAATGATCTTGATTTGGGCATAACTAGTAGGATTAGTAAATTTGCAGATGATACCAAAATGGGGAGAGTGATAAATTCAGACAGTGACTTTGAACACCTTCAAAGAGATCTAGACATCTTACATGAGTGGTCAGTAGACTGGCAAATGAATTTTAATACTGATAAATGCAAGGTAACACAGATAGAAGACGAATACAAACGCTAAGTATAAACTAGGTAACACGGAAATAGAAAAACTCAGCTTCAGAAAAAGATCTAGGTGTATTTGTTAGCAAAACGACTTGGAAACCTAGAAAACAATGTATGCTAAGTCGCAACAAGGCACAAACAGATTCTTGGGTTCATATTCAGGTCTGTGAGTAACAGAACTGTTGACGTTATCTTGAAACTCTTACCTAGCATTAGGGGTGAGGCCACATGGATTATGCGGTTCAGTTCTGGTGTCCTTATTATAGAATGGACATAGATTCTTTGGAGAGAGCAAAGAAGAATGACAAAAATGATCCATAATATTAGAAACCTTCCATATGAAGAAAGACTGAAAAGCTTAGGCTTACATTCATTAGAGAGGCGTAGAGTTAGGGGAGATATGATAGAGGTGTACAAGTGGGTAAGTGGGATTAACAAGGGTAAAATGGAAGATGTTCTGAAGCTCAGTAAAAACGAAATAACTAGAACAAATGGCTTTAAATTAGATAAATTCCGATTCAGAAAGGATATAGGTAAGCACTGGTTTGGTAATAGAGTTGTGGATATGTGGAATAGGCTACCGAGTGCTATAGTAGGATCGGGGACGCTAGGGAGCTTCAAGACGAAGTTGGATAGGCACATGGAAGTGCTGGGATGGGTGTGAAAGGGATCTGCCCTGTATGGGCCAGTCGGCCTCCTGCAGTATCCCACTTTCTTATGTTCTTATGTTATGTTCTTATGTGATTGTTTGTCAGACCATAGCTCACAGCTCAGAGAAGAACAACACATATAGTAGTGACCGGAAGCGCAGGTGTACACCCACGTAAGTTGACCCACCCTTCGTAATTAGAATGAGGTTAAGACCTGACCCAGCAGAGGTCACGGTCACAATGAAATAGTTCTCACCGCTGTGTGATTAGTCAAACTGGCGTCATGACCGTGTTAACTCAAGAAATTACACTCCTGCCTGCACCTGTTCAAACACAGCTGTCTCGACACACCCAGATTAGTGTTAATTAGTGATGACATCTGCCGGGCTGACACAGCCAATATAGGGGAGAGTCAGGACAGAGGCAGACGGAGTCACGCTCGTCACAAGTAGAGGTCGGGAGGGGAACTTCCCTTCCCAGCTAGCAGTCTCCCACAGGAAACAAAGTCCAGCACCCGTCGGAACCACTCTCTTCGGCAGCACCTGCAGACAGATTCCATGGCCACTGGGCCTCCCTCAGATCACACACGAGTCATTGTCAGAGCGATCCATAGGGCGAGTTACTTACGGTGGGAAGTGTATCCATTTCATGTGTGTCCGAGTCATTTTCTAGTAACAAATATATTAATAACATATATTAATCTATTAATGTGTCCATGCCATTGAGTTAACTAATAAATAGCTGTACTGTATATCGAAAGAACCAAAATCAATTTGCTTTATTGTGCAATACATGAACCATTGCATCATGAGAGTACTATATCCTTTCACAAATTTTTAGGGCTATATTGATATCTTTTCATGTACCATTGTTTCATCCACCAAAGCTTCCTTTTTTTACTGAACACAAAAAGCTAATACTTTTACCCTTTTACTTTTATCCTCTTCGCCACTGATCGGCTCGTTAGCCGCTTGGGCGATCGGTCACGTCTCTGTCACGCACTGTTGGCAGGTACTGGGCATGCACTGGCTCCTGAATGTACTTGAACCCGCTCCAGTGTTGGTCAAGTCTGGTCTTGAAAGAGCTCACACTCGGTGCCGTCACAACACTTTCTGGTAGATTGTTGCAAGAGTTCACAACTCTCACTCTCAAAAAGTTTGCCCTCACAGTTTTCTGGACCTGCAACTTCTTCAACCTTGAGCTATGACCCCTTGTGGGGCGAGCGTCCGCCAGCTCCAGATAACGACACTCGACTGAGTAGTGCCCCTCGAGATGCTTATACACTTCAATTAGGTTGCCCTTTGCCTGTCTGTAGTATAAGCTAGGCAAGTTCAGGCGCTCCAACCTCTCAGGGTAGCTGAGGTGCCGAAGTGCAGGCACCAGTCTGGTGGCCCTCCTTTGAAACATTTTCAGTCAACTGACAGTCCCTAGTATATCTCGGCTATACATACCATATGTTGCCTCTATGAGCATGGATGTCGTATGGACAGACTTTTGTGCAATAATATTGAGCCATATAAGGGGTGCATATTGGCCAATAATGAGTCAATATATTGTATCAATAACATTGACCATGTAGGGGATTGTAGTTTGTTCATTACTATACAGTATATACATGCTATGGTTGCACTTACCTCAGGTGTTATCTTCAAGGTGTCTTCACAGGCTGGTATTCCAGTGCAATCATCTAAATTTATCTAAAAGAATAACTTAACAGCTGCTGGCTTTAAAAGGCCAAGTTCAGCTGAACCGACACCAACAGGGGCACAACAGTAGGGATGTGTTTAACGTCCAGCCAGTGATGTCACAACCATCATGGCCACAGTCATGTTAAAAAAAATAAAGACGACTGATTGCTCAATAATAGAACTCAAATTGAAAAAAAAAACTGTACTGTGTACCGTAATATAAAACAAATTGTTGGATTTATCTTACATATTTTTATGAGACCATCAACCAGTCTATTAAGAACTAATCTATACATTAACTTGTGCTTTTAATTGCTACAATTGGCAGTGAAAAACAAATTTGAGGTCTATTTCCTGTACCAGTTAACACTGTTTCGTTCCATAGTTTAGTCATCAACAGTACTCCTGTCGGCCAGGCCAAACTTCCTATCAGTTCTCCCAGTACAGTACTACAATTTCCCTTTCGTCTAGTTCTGATACTACAGCAGCAACTCATCCCAAAACTGGTCGTTTTCACTTAACCCAACTTGTGGGGCATATCTAACTACAACAATTAAGAAATTCTTGTCTACCAGTACCTTCAAAACCAAATTCTCAAATTTATTATTTTGTCCTCTAGCACTTCCACCCACTTTTGAATACCTGAACCTAGAATCATTATCCTTCGAGAAAAAGTACTTACCATTCTTACCAGTAATCACCCTTGTTGAGCTTTCTTTCTAAACCCAGCTAATGACAAGCAAGTGTTACCGAAGTCATGGCAAAACCAGTTCAAAGAGCTTGCAGTGACCCGCCATGACCAGCTTTACGGACACCTTTCCATGAGTGACAACACAAAGAGCTTGATGATGGGGCACCCATTTAGGGTGCTGCCCGAGTTTGGGATCTTGTATTATTACTGGTAAGTGGAAGCAAGTGCCTGTACAACACTTGACCAGTACCCTGTGTATAAGCAGTGCACCAACCCAAAAAATGCAGCAGAAACCAGGGGAAAGAGAGAGCTCTAGTGTCTTAGTTGCCATCAGGTAAAGTTGAAGTAGGTTTTACACTTTGATGTCCTTCCTATTACCAACCTGCATTTACAGAGCAGGAATAGGGCATATATCCAAGGCATAAAAGGACACCAAGTTATAGTCTTTGTATATTTCTTCCAAATCCTTAAGATATTGGACTCAGAATGACACCAAGACTAGCCTTGGTATAGTTTTTATCCAGAATCCTACTTGAAAAGATACCAAGGTTTGGGGCTAAAAAGTATACAGTGCCAAGGCTATAGCGTTGGTGTCTTTTCAAGCAAGATATGCATGAATATATCTTGTACGGAATTCGGGGAAATGTCCTAGCGTGGATAGAAGACTTTCTACATGACCGCAAGCAATGTGTGGTGATTAATGGCACGAAATCGTCATCTGTACCTGTAACAAGTGGGGTACCGCAGGGTAGTGTATTGGGCCCGCTGTTGTTTGTTTGTTTCATAAATGATATGCCTGACGTTGTACACTCCTCCATACAAATGTTTGCCGATGACGCCAAGTTATTTCGGGAAATTAAGAACCAAGCGGACTGTGAAGAGCTGCAGAAGGACCTCTGTGGGCTCCAGGAATGGTCGAAGGAATGGCTGCTGAGATTCAATGTCACGAAGTGTAAGAGGATGCACCTGGGGCGTACCAACGGTAAGGAGGCGTACCATATGTCCCAACGGGATGAAGAAAATGTACTAGTTGAGACTGTGTGTGAGAAGGACCTAGGTGTGTATGTTGACAATGAGCTGAAGTTCTCGGGCCATTGTGAGAAGAAGGTAAATCAGGCAAATAAATTATTGGGTCTTATAAGAAGGTCGTTCAGATATCTAGACGGTCCGTCCCTCGTGACGATCTTCAGGAGTGAAGTGCTTCCCCATCTGGAGTACTGTCACCCCATCTGGTCCCCGAGATATGCTAGGGACTGTCAGTTGGTTGAAAATGTTCAAAGGAGGGCCACCAAACTGGTGCCTGCACTTCGGCATCTCAGCTACCCTGAGAGATTGGAGCGCCTGAACTTGCCTAGCTTATACTACAGACAGGCAAGGGGGGACCTAGTTGAGGTTTATAAGCATCTCAGGGGGCACTACTCAGTTGAGTGTCCTTATTTGGAGCTGGCGGACGCTCGCCCCACAAGGGATCACAGCTCAAGATTGAAGAAGCCGCAAGTCCAGAAAACCGTGAGGGCAAACTTTTTCGGAGTGAGGGTTGTAAACTCTTGGAACAACCTACCAGAGAGTGTTGTGACGGCACCGAGTGTGAGCTCTTTCAAGAGAAGACTTAACCAACACTGGAGCGGGTTCAGGTACATTCAGGAGCCGGTGCATGCCCAGTATTTGCCAACAGTGCGTGACAGAGACGTGACCGATCGCCCGGGCGGCTAGCGAGCCGACCTTTTGGTGAAGAATATAAAGGAAAAGAGACGTGACCGATCGCCCAAGCGGCTAACAAGCCGATCAGTGGCGAAGAGGATAAAAGAAAAGATAAAAGTAATGTGGTTTCTTACATCATAATAGCATGTTTGCATAACTACTGTACAGTATTCACTTTCTTATGTTTGCAGAGGCTACAACTTTAAAAAAATTTTGATCTTATACTTTGATCATTATCCTGTAGGTCTGTCCTCCTCTGGTAATTAATACAGTATAATACAGTTTTCCTAAGCTAAAAATAATCATGTAACAGAAACATCAATTATAGTGAAATTTTATTCCACTTACTTTACAACAGGATTCCACTTGAACCATATTATTTAACAAATAAATGCACTCTTTGTTCCATAATTTGTTCACAAAGATGCCCATAAAAAAAAGTCCTTACCTATGTTTATATAAAAAAAAATCATTTTAAATAAACAACAAGATAACTTTTGGATCAAACACTTGGCATTTGTTTATAACACAGAGGTTAAAAAAATATTAATACTGTAATCTGGGCACCAAATGCTATCTTTAACTGTGACTTGGGCAACAAGAAGTCTATAAATCAGATATTTCAAAAGGTCGACTTCCTTTTTTACAAAACAGGTTAACCTTAGTGAAGAACCATACAAGTCTCAAAACATCTAACTGCCACCTTTAATGAAAAGTTGGTTCCTATGGACACTACAGGAATGAGAAGATGAAAAACATAAATATAAGTTACTATTTACACTGAATGGTAGATACCCTGTAGAACAAACATATCCATGACATTTAACAAATAGGCAACAATGTGACCAGATCCCTTCCACTAGTATGAAAAGAACACACACACACACACACACACACTACCTGTGACCTACAACTGTTAGGTGACATCACAGGTTTGACTTTGGAACTATAGTTGTTTAATTAAAGAAGTGAATGCTTCTACAGTCTCATCCTGACTTAATGCTAGCTGATCTGAAGGGACAATCAAATCATTCAAGAGAATCTAATTTTGTACTTCATTATCCTTGTCAGGTTATTCCACTGTGGAGCATAATCACATAATAAGCAACAGTAAGACATGGTCATGTGATGGTGCCACTTTGTAAGTGTTTAAGCAAACATGAAAACTAGTCATAACAAAAAATCAATTTCAGATCTGGCAACATTAAGTTATAACCACCACATGCAGCCACAATATACTGTATCTGGTTCTCTTGGCTGCACAGTAGATTGTATTGCAAGTAAAAAAAAAAATACTCAATAATAAGATGCACTTGAACCCCTAAATCAGGAACATCACATCAGTGTTGCTCAACTCATTAGCAAACAAGTATTCAATCCATTACAAATTGAGTGGATGCCTCTAACAAAACACTACTCCTCCTCACTTTAATTTGTGTAAGATGCTTTAAACCCAAAACTGATGCTCTAGCAAAAGAAAATCATAAATAAAGATGTCAAAAAGTCCTATCTGAACTTTAACAATACTAATTTGTAAATGACATGCACACAACTTCAAATGTTTTGAGCACCTGAGGTAAGCAAAGTTGCCTGGTAATACTGGTTTAGGGGTACAAAAGCAATTTTTAATCCTTGGTGGTTTTCTAAATTTAGTTATTTTCAATATGCCTTACTGCAGAATCCAACATACATGATTGAAACTAGATATTTGTCACCATGCTGCAAAGCAGCAATCAATCCGTCGCTAGTCGACTTCAAACACTTAATGAATAAACCACAAAAAGATTACTAAAGATGACAACAAACAGACCATTACTTCAACATAAAAAAAATGAAAATAAAATAATTTGCACTGGATTCCAACTGGTAAGTGTCAGGTTGTTAAGACCTACTCATCTTTAGGATCTGTCGAAGTAGTAGCATGACCATTTGTTGGACCTGCATCAGTTTCATCCCCGGTACAAACTATACAAGGTGAACCTGGTCGTGGTAATCCTGCATCAGAATTTCCATGAGTTTGAGTCAGGAGAGCTCCTCCATGCTGGGCAGATGATATGCAGGAGAGGGACGGCCGCCTTAAACTACGACGAGGCAGTTCAGGAAAACTTGAACTACACTCGCGACATCCACCATCTGAAGCTTCAGGGTGAGAGAGTGCATGGTTTTCCAGTTCAGCGCGAAAGAAGAATCGCTGATGGCAGTGGTGACAGTCATAAGGACGAGCACTTAGGCCATGTTCCACCATATGTTGTTGCAGCCGTGATGCAGTGGTAAACACTGAGGAGCACATGTAACAGGTAAAGCTACCACAACCTTCAAATGTGTGCTCTATTAAATGACACTGGAGACGGAGAGGGGTGTCAAAAGTGGCGCGGCATAAGTGACACTCGTGTACTGATCCTTCATGCAAGAGGTGAGAAGCTACATGGGCTTCTATTTCTGCTTCTGATGCAAAGCTTTCTTGACACTTGATGCACTGATAGGTACGAGAAGACGCTGTTATGGAACGACCAAAGCCTTGTTGATGCTGTTGATGGTGGGCGGCAGCATGGGCTTCAGCTTCCTCAATGGTCTCCAGCTTTAAATGACACTCGGAACACCTTAGTGATGGAGAATGTCGAGGACTGCTGCTGCTACGACTGTTGCTGTTGCTATTAGTGGTTACAGTAGAAACAGTGGCAGCAGTAGTGATAATTGAGGAATTCGATGAAGGAGGGAGTAATTCACCACTACTGAAGATACCTGATGCAATAGATGCAGCTGCAGCTGCTTGGGCAGCCTGAGCAGCATGGAAACGTGCATGGACAGTAACTTCCATGTCTGTAACTAATGTCTGTCTGCATACTACACACGGCTGAGGCAGTGGTGATGGATGATGTTCATTTTGATGGTTTGTGAATTGCTGCTCTGATGTTAAGGGCTCCCGACATACCGCACATGCACTACCAGATACTACTTTAACATGTGTGAGTTTATGTTGAGCTAAAAGAGCAGCTGATGGACACAATTCATCACAGATATTACATTTATGACGACCACCATTTCCTTGGTGTGACTTCATATGGGCTTCAAGGTCACCTCGAGATTTGCAGGCCTCACTACAATATGCACAAAACAGACTCAAAGATGCAGCTGCTACCTTAGCAGCAATGCCACCAGAACCACTCTTTATGTTGTGAGCTTGTTTCCTATGATTCAGCAAACCTGATTCAGAGGAAAATTCTGCATCACATATATCACACCGTAAATCCTTTTTCTGGGGACTACGGCGAGGCTTTGCCAAGTTCTCTGGTTGAGGTACATTACCATTAAGCTCAGAGTTGTGCTGAGTTTGCATATGTTTGTCCAAGAGGAATTCAACATAAAAGGCATCATCACAGAGAGAACACTGAAATTGGCGCTGGTGTGTGGCAACATGAGCACCCAACTCTGCCTCAGAGCTTAGAGTTAGGGTGCACAGCAAACAACGGTAAGACCCTCCAGATACACCAATAGATCCACCACCTGATATAGGGTCCCCACCAGACTGCCCTCGTCGCATATGACTTGTACGTATGTGCCCTTCAAATTCAGACTGAGACCGGAATATGAGTGAACATCGGGAACACTTGTTTATTTTACACTCATTACTGTGTTTTACAGCAAAGTGAACCTGGATTGACACTTTAGAATCAAACATCTCCTTGCATAGAGCACACCGGTAAAGATGGTGTGCATGAATGTCCATTAGGTGTTTTTGTAACTCATCTGGCTTCGAAAAAAGTTTCAGACAAGCCTGACAGCCATATTCAGTAGAAGTGATACTCAAATGGGTGGCCAGGTGAGCTTCTAATGCAGTTTCTGATGTTAATGGTAACCGGCACTCTGGGCAAGCTAGCTGCATCGCACCAGCCACTGTTGATGAAAGTTGCTCTCCTCCATCCAGATGAGATTTGAGATGCCTACGGAAAGCTTCGAAGTTTGTAAAAGGAGCATTGCACTGGCTGCAAAGTAGTGTGGAGGCAGGAAGATCTGAAGTCAAACTTTCATGACGGGACTTTTTACTTAGGTCGGTAGGTGTATCAGTAGGAGGGGAAGGTGGGCGTTTATTGAGCACTGCTGATAGTACGGGTGCAGCATGAACAAGCTTAATGTGTTCAGCTAAGGCACCTGGGTTGCTGAAGGGCAGGAGACATTGTGCACAGAAGACCCCTTCAGCAGCACGTGCCAACAGATCTGTGAAAGTGTGGGCTGTTACTACGTGTCGCTGCAAGGCTGTGACTCCCCCCACACGGGCACCACACAGCTCACAGCTGACTCCTCGTGATGATCCAGGGCCAAGCGGGGAAGCAATGGAGGTAGCTAAGCCGCTGGCTCCAAGAGATGTGCCTAAAGATGATGGCAGACCCAACATAGTGGCCATGTCTCTCACTTCACCATTCAATACAGACCCTGGAAGAGAGATCGAACATTAATATTCAGACAGGCCAATTTACTAATTACAGTACCTGTACATCAGCTCATTATAAATACAGTACAGATCATCATACATTCAGTCACAACTAACCATGAGCAGACTGCAAATGTAGTTGTAGGGCTTCTAGAGAAGGAAACCCATCTCTTGAGCAGTAAAGACAGGCTAACTTTCCCCCTACAAGTGATAGCAGGGGATTGGGCAGAGGCCTGGGAGAAGGAAGAGAAGATGGTGGGCGGGGAGATGGAGTTGAAGCTGCCGAAGACGCACCACCTATTGATGAAGCTCCAGAGCCCCCACTACGTGATGCAGGACGCTCCGTTGATACTGCATGTAACTCTTCTCCATGATAACGAGATAGGTGACGCTGCAAACACAAAGTTTAAATTGAATTTATTGAAAAAATAACATATGCTGTAGAGTACATCATATACATTATGATCTCAGTAATTTGCATCCTGTTGAACTTGCATCAAAAAAAAAAAGTCAACAGGAATTCTCTGGAGGATAATTTCTTTTTTTCCATCAATAGTTTCATCATTTATCACAACGGTTGCAACATTTTAAACTAAATAATTCATGATGTTCACATTTTTATATCCTACTTTTCCTAAGTTAATGACAGATTGCTATTCAAATTTTCATTTGATAGCCTTCAGGTGTCTCCAAGTACATTACACAAGTTTACAGGGCTGAATATAAAAAGTCCCAGGAGTCTTGATGCATGGGACTGGTGCTAAATTAAAATAAATCTTCAGTTTTTAATTCAGGAAATACAGTACTGTAAACCCAAATTAGTTAATCCTTCCAAACCATAAGCTCAGGAAGGGCCTTTGTGTTAACCAGAGGTTGAAGGCTGGAGTTAATGAAGTTCAAAAGAAGTAGACAAACTGTCAGTGAGCATCATCAGGGTTTTGGTTCCATGATCAAAAGAATTATGCACAGGTGTTACTTGTACTATTACTTTACTTTTATCCTCTTCACCACTGATCGGCTCGTTAGCCGCTTGGGCGATCGGTCACGTCTCGGTTACGCACTGTTGGCAAGTACTGGGCATGCAGCACCAGCTCCTGAATGTACCTGAAACTGTTCCAGTTTTAAAAGAGCTCACACTCGGTGCCGACACAACACTTTCTGGTAGATTGTTACAAGAGTTCACAACTCTCACTCAGAAAAAGTTTGCCCTCACAGTTTTCTGGACCTGCGGCTTCTTCAATCTTGAGCCGAGATAGAATAGCTATAGGTATTATTTCTACATTACTTAGCTAATTTAAATCTGCTCTAATGTAGCACCAGTCACACATGTCAAGGTCCTGGGAAATGATTTCCAAACCTGAACTGTGTAATATCCTTCAGTTACCAGAATAACCACAGTAGCACTGCCAAAAGGAGCATTTTTTCTTATTATTTTGTGTCACATAAAAGCTTACTGTAAAAAAAGAAAAAATGGGGGGGGGGGGGCAAATTATCAACAAAGTTTTACAGCCATTTTCCACTCTTGCATGGGTTAGCGGCAATTACCTGATGGCAGCTGTTGGGTAAAACCAGACTGGGACATCCCCTGACCACAAGCAGAAACCCAGTTACTCTACTGGCACACTGCCTAAATGTGCCAGCCCAGAAAGTGCAGCAAAGACCAGGGGATGAGCACAGCTCTGGTGACCCAATTGCCATCAGGCATGTTGAAGGAAAGTTTAAAACCCTTCCTAGTGCCAACCTAAAGGATGGCAACAGCTGGTAAGGCAGAATCACAACTCGTGATAATCAGCAACTACCCGCCTACCAAATATCATTAATAATATTTAATGTGTTGAATGTTAATGATTACTATGAACCAATTTATAAACAGAAGGAAATGGAGGCTGTCAAAAAAATGGCTGCAATTTAAGTAACTAGTTAATTTGGTTCAGTAGTGGCAGGCATGCACAAGCTAGAGGGATGACCCATTCATGACTTGTAAGTTTAAGAATCAGTTGCATTAATGAGATATTCTACCAATAAAATAATTATAGAGAATGAGACAGAGGAAACAAAGTAAGTACTGGGCATGCACTGGCTCTTGAATGTATCTGGTCATGAGAGCTCACACTCGGTACTGTCACAACACTCTCTGGCAGGTTGTTCCAAGAGGTCACAATTCTCACTCTGAAAAAGGTGGCTCTCACAGTTTTCTGGTCTTGTGGCTTCTTCAACCTTGAGCTATGATCCCTTGTGGGGCAGGTGTCTGCCAGCTACAGTAGTGTATATTCATTTTTTCTTTTGGCTATTATTACACACAATATTGTACTAAACCACTTTCCACATAATGGTTAATTCACAAAAACTATTGTACCGACCTGTAAATGGGCTTGATTTCTACAGTGTGCATGACAGATTGGGCAGCGGACAGTGATCACTGGGGACAACGTGGGCGAGGGGTCGCCAACTGGAGAAGTTGTTACATCTCTCGGTGAAGAACCCACTCCTAGCTCTATTCCCTTTGGACTTAAAAGCTGCTCCTGTAATAAAACAAAAACAAATATGGAATACAGTGCTAGAAAATAGTAAAATATTAATAGTGTAGGAAAATTAATATCTTGTTCAGAAATTTGCTTCTTCAGTGAATTGAATTGTTTAGAAAAATTAAAAGTTATGTGGACAAAATTGATCTACTACTTGGTTTTGTTATCTGTGAGGGTACTGTACTTGGAATTTAATTGAAATTTATTCTAACTATAACTCTAATGCACCTGTTTTAACTAAATTTTATCCAGTGAAGTTGACTGGTAGACAGACTAATAGACTGACTCTTGAACCTAATATCTACTGTATACTGTACATCAACCTTTATTTAATTGATGAAGATTAGTACAGCCCAGCAAAATTATTTTTCACATTTCAAGTCTTAATTTAACTGAAAGTGACAAGAATATAAGATATCGACTGTCACAAAAAATAGCGCTTTTTGTTTTCTCCACATATTTAAAGTATCTTAATTTAAAGGAAGATGATGTGGTAACCAAGTGGCATACAGTTAGTGACAAATTGAGGATTGGTGGAACTGTTACCTAGTTTGTCATGAGTACAATATGTAGGATGAAGAGGAAGTATAGTAGGATATACAATTCAGACATATGAGCAAGTGTCAAAACAGAACATTTGTTATTAAGATGATGCAGCCACAGTAAAAGAATGGGAAAGGACAAATTGGTAATTCGTGAATAGTATAATTATGAGGTGATTGAGAAGAGGAAGAGGGAAACACTAAGATAAGAGATGGCACGAAGGAAATATTAGAGGAAAGAGGAACTGCTATCCAGGAAGCCGCAGAGCACATGAATGGGAGGAGGGGATCCTGAGGATGACCCAACAGTACAAAAGTGAATGAAAGATAAAGTACAAGAAAGGATAGGGTTTTTTGCTTTTGATCCTGGCCACCATGCAGCATAATGTGAAAAATAGTCATCATGAATTTACAGCTAAAAAGCTAATGACTTTGAAATGGAATTATCATCTTCATATTACATAAGGCTTACTTTCTGAGTATCCTTTAACAAGTGATTCAGGGCTTGAGAGTGAGCATCCCCTGAAGAGTCCCTCAGGAGCTGGGTTAGAGCATGGGTTTCTCCTGGTGCTTGAGCATCCTTCAGTAGCTGGTTGAGAGCATGTGCAGTTAGTTTAGCCTTATGATTCTGCATGTGGGCAGTCAGAGCTGCGGCAGTGTTGTACCCGCGGTTGCATACAGAACATTGGTATGGTTTCTGAGTATCATGAGTCTTCTTGTGAATCTTGAGATGGTCACTGTGGAAGACAAGAGTAAACTTGATAAGAGTAAAAAACACCACAATGGAGAAGTGATTACTTACTCGGTGCCATATACAGTACAGTAAAAACACCATGACTCGGCAAATATGGGGCTCTGGCCTTGCCGAGTAATAGAATTTGCCGACTTACTGGTAATGAGCCGATACTGTACAGTATAATGAAATACAAACAGTTGTATTAAGTACTTACCATTGGCAAGGGGCAATTTCTTGATGAGCATGTAAGAGGCAGACCAACTGTATTATATACTGTATTGTGTGTGCAACACTTCACAGGCACTGTACAGTATACAGTAAATTGTTCCAACAAACTTAACACTACTGTATGTACTGTACACTTTATGCATAGCAATAACACTTCAGTTACAATAAATAATTGTGCTGACAAACTTAAGACTACAATTTATCCATAACAGTACTGTATCTGTACAGTAACACTTCACAGACACTTAATCACTGTCAGAAGGTCTACGCATGACGCGAGGTTAATGCAATCCAATGCTCACGGGGACGACACAGGCTGCTAAGCATTAGCCAGCTTGCTGAGTTCTCGCATGTGCCTCGGCTCCTACCAACTTGGCGCCAATTTGCCAAATACTCAGAAATGTAACTGTTGTCAGCCGCAGTGCCATCTTGCAAATATATATATATATATATATATATATATATATATATATATATATATATATATATATATACTATGCTAATAACAATAATGTATGTGTATGTGTGTGCAACAATGTGTGTGTGTGTGTGTGTGTGTGGGGTGCGTGCTGATTGTGTGTGTGATCAGGTTTTGTGTGTGTGTGTGTGTGTGTGTGTGTGTGTGTGTGTGTGTGTGTGTGTGTGTGTGTGTGTGTGTGTGTGATGTGTGTGTGTGTGTGTGTGTGTGTGTGTGTGTGTGTGTGTGTGTGTGTGTGTGTGTGTGTGTGTGTGTGTGTGTGTGTGTGTGTGTGTGTGTGTGTGTGTGTGTGGACGTATATATATATATATATATATATATATATATATATATATATATATATATATATATATATATAAAATTCTGATTACATATATACTGCATGTACTTTATTTAGTATACACTGTATTGCATACATAGGTTTTTTATAAATCAATGTACAAATGGTGTTTGCTGACTTCTCGGTGTGTACAATGCAGTACATCTAAAGAGGGCAATATGTTTTCACTCTCTTGTTCTGAAGTGAACTGTATATTATGTTGATTTACAGAAAATCTACATACAGTATACAGATTAACCACAAAATTTGACTCCTTCATACCTGTTCAAAATACATAAAGAATCTAATATCTACCACAGCCACCAGGATTACAACATTTGCTCAGATTACAGTACTATTGTAAATTTCATCTCAAATCGTACAGTTCCGTGGGAAAAAATTATATCTGAATGGTTCCCACTTAACTTCATTGATACTTACATAGGGAAACAACCCTCTAAACTACTCAGACCACATACTCAGCCAGCCACTGCTACAGATGCACAAAATCTTATGAAGGGTTTGAGAAAAAAGAAGAGGGAGTTACAACTAAAATTGTCCAAGGGTGACTTCATCATTCTTCTGATCTGTAAAACACATGCTAGTTATAGCCATGCCAAACACCCACCATGAAAACACTTATTATATGGCGGTTGGAAGTCTGCTGCTTGAATAATTCTCGAATTCTCAACATTCAACAGCTTGTAGGTTATTAAATCCTTCTGACAGAATGTTAATCCATTGAAAATGTGTTCGACTATTGGCAAATGCACCTGATGATTGGCAAATGCACCTGATGATTAACTCATTTTATTGTAGCGTGCCTGGGCTAGTGTAAAAGGAGGGTAATCAGTCCTCTAAGTCAAATCAGGAATGGACTTTTAAAACCTAAGGTAACTCACCTCCTAGAGAAGGCAGCCTCACAGTGACAGCACTTGTACTTCTTGTCACCGGTGTGCAGCTTGACATGTCGATCCCGGGAGCGCTTGTGCTTGAAAAGGCGTCCACAAAACTCGCAGCGAAATGGCAGCTGATCAGCATGAGTCTGTACACACAAGATACAGTCAGAAATATACAGAACATTATCTTTCCTTCCTTTCACTCACCCCATCCCAGTCTGGAAGGAATTGTGATAAGAAATTATATCTTGATAAATACCAACTACTAGTTTTACCAGAAGAGGCAAGGAGAGACAGGAGAAGAGAGAGACAGGAGAGATACTGATGGAAAAGGAAAATAAATGAGAATGAAAGATAGTGTGAATAAATAAGCAAGATAATAAAAATAGCCGATGGATGTGAGTGGTAGAGTAGAATAAGGCGGGGATATGGGGAGGAAAAAAAAGCTTGGGGAGAGAAAGTTCAGCAGAGAAGAAATAAAGATGTAAATAGAAAGGAGAAAAAGAGTACAGTACAGTACAGATGTGGTGGAAGGAGATTTACCAGGCCTGGGGAGATAAGACATTCATTTTTATAATAAGTATGAAAATTAGACCCAATAATTAGGGAAAATAAGAACATATAAATTTTTTAATATATATACTGTATACGATGTACTGTACTTTATGGATAAATTGGGGTAAACGACTAAAAAATACAAAGTGAAAACTCCATATAATGAACTAACCATTTACATTATACATTAGTCCATTAAATAGAGGTTTCTCTATAACATGAAAATTGACAGACTGAAAAATAAGGTAATAATAAATAATTAAGAAATGTAGGAGCAGTATGATGAAAAGGAAAAAAAAGTGTAGTAAATTAGCATGATACAAAGAATGAAAAGCAGAGTCTAATGTCAAAAAATGCCATAGCTACATTAATTTGTATACAGATTTAGTAAATATACTGAAGTAACTATGCTATACCATACTAATGTGACTTAAATGCTGTATGTATGTATGTTATAGTACATGCAATAAAAATCTTGTACCTGCCTGTGATAAAGCTTTCCAAATTAAAGGTGAATTGTCTGCTTTCAAGTCCATGTAAACTATATGGCATGTGATAGTACACCTCAAATGGTACTTTTGGGCTACAGTGAACTTACCAATGGCCAAATCAAGTCTGGAGAGGAAGTCTTTTTCTCATCATCATTTGGTCCTGAATCATAGTCTTTCAATTCCGAGGTTTCATCTTCTGTAGGAGTGTTGATCTTGGCATCGTCGGGGATGTTGAACACCTCAACTAGCGTACTGTCCTTTAGGATGAAGAATCTTTCAATACTGTCTGGATAATCGTCGGCGATACTCAAGGTTGGTACATCCATGGCACCTCCAATGGGCCCGAATCGATTGCTCTGTATTGGGGTGCCTTTGTTTGGTTCACGGGATGAAAATCTATTGTCGTCTGCAAAATTCAATTTTCTTTGGGCACGAAGACGAACTGTGTTTGTTCTTGATGCCTGATCTGAGGAATCCTCCGAGTACTGATTAATAAGTGGTGCAGGCACATTGGCTTCCTCTATCTGTGGCCACGAATACTCTGAAACATTCCCGAGTGTAACCACATCATAAAGATCAGCTCTTACAGCTAGATCTAAGATGTCCTCCTCCTCCTCCTCCTCACTATATTTGGTGAAGGCAAGGTTTTTAATTTTTTTCCTCTGGGATGATTTATTTAACTTTGTGGAGGCTCTACATTTCATCGATTTTGTGCCACTGTCACAATGCGAGTTCTCTGATACATGGAAACTATCCTTCATTGTCTTTGATCTACCTTTTCTCTCGTCACTGGAACAGAAATTGTTTTCAGCCAGACAACTCTTTGTTCCACTAATTGAATTGTTCAGCAAATAAGATTTACAGGAACTTTGCTCAGAATATTCCAATATGCACAGTTTTTCTATTTTGTTTAAATTACTTTCATATTCTTCAGAGTCACTGGAATGTTTTGAAAAGTTAGTTCCAACAACAGGTTTAGCTACATCCAGATGATCTTGTGAACTAAGCTCACTGAATGTGAGGGAAGTGTGTTTGTGTGTATCGAGTATGGACTCCTCAGGAAGTAAAAAATGGATGGAATTAGAGTTTTTCACAGTATCTCTTGAGACATTCATGTCACTGAACTCCTTAGCAAAGTCAGCATCCTTACCATTGGTAGTGAAGGGAAAAGAACTCCAGTTAGTTGTTTCAAAAAAGGGATTGTATGTATTTTCAGCTTCAAGTGACGTGCCTCCAATCTTCTCTGCCTTTTTAAAATTTTCAAATGTTGCTATATCTGGAATATTTTCAGATGTTCTATTAGTTAATCTATTTCTGATTTTTGGTGAATAATTTGTGCTATCATTCTCTGCTCTTTTATTTGAACCCTTGTCACTGACCAATGTTATTATGAATGGGTTAGAAGCTGAGGAGGCAGGAAGATCATTCCTCGAGTTGAATATCTGAGGAACTACAGGAACAGAACTTGATGCAATGGAAGATTTGTCAGCATTATTAACAGATGATGTTCTTTTACCCTGTATTAAATCACTGTCACCAGTACTTTGTTTTTCATTTACTTCAAGAGGGTCAATATCAACATTGATGTCCACTGTATCACTAGTGGAAAGTGAAGTATCAGAGAAATTTAACGAAACTTTAACATCCTCATCATATGAAATATCGTTGATACTGTGAGAAATACTAAAATCCTTACAAGACAAACAGCCTGAATTGGACAAAATAGTAGCATCAAAATCTAATTTGTGATCGTCTGATGAACTGATTCTATTAAGGCATCGCCCCTGTGGTCTTTTATCAGTCACAGGCTGACTGGTAAAAGAATCGTTCTGAGGGAGAGCCTTGAACCTATTTGGGCGGAGGATACACGGGGCAATCTTGTGGATGAGTTTAAAGTGAGCACCTCGCCTGACAATGGAGGAAGGTGACATGGTTCTTAGATCTGGTGAAGAGCTGCTCCCTGACCATGTGGTTTTGAATGATTGAAGAGTGTCAGGTTTCTGTTCATCAGACTGTGAACATAAAACTTCACTGCAAGGTAACATATTCTCGCCAGCAGTCTCAGGTTTTAAAATATTTTCAGTCTCAGGTATTTTTTGCAATGAGAAGGGCTTGGCCAAACCTGTTATCACTTTATTTTGAAAGGCATCGAAACTTTCAGAATTTTCACTTGGAAGTAAATCTGATAATCTTGTTTCATCAGGAATGCTCTTAAGATTTAGTATGGGGGAGGTGTAAAACTTGAGTTCCTTGATAGGGTTTGTACACGAGGCCGAGTACTGGCGAGTAAGTTTTCTACAGTTGCCTTCCTTTTTGCAGTAGTTAGTTCTGAAGCTGAAGGTTTGTTAACTTCACCTATAACCTTTTGACCTCTACGATTGTTATTTCTGTCTTCATCCTCAGAGTATTCCACCTTTGTTCCAAGACCTAAATTCAATTTTCTGATCTTTATACGTTTCTGAACTTGCAATATCCACTAACACATCATCCTCTGGTATTTGAAGGACAGGAAAGGTCTCTCTCTTCACTTCAATGTCTTGAAAATTGTTAACTTCTGATTGTGGAATAGTAGAGATTTTTTCCTGAACAAGTAGATTCAATCCAGAGAGAGACAACGGCTTCTCATTTGTATCCAGTACAGCATCTTTGGGAGCATAAATACCTACTTGGTGTACACTTTGATTTATTAATATGAGTGTCATTACTTTTTCTCTGCCTCCTAGGTACTCGAAACATTCCCTTTCGTCTTTTCTTGGGTAGAATGTAGGGATGGTATTTCTGAATCTTCCAATTTGATACATCCTTTACCACCACAGTTGACAAGTTTGACCTCACCTGCACCTGATGCAAACTTCTCATTACTATCACCAGGTTCAACATTTACACATGGCAAAGAGTCACAGTTATTTGCCAGTAATCCTCCAAAAAATTTATATTCTGTTACCTGTGTTTCCTGTTCACTCTCCATCTGATCACCAATATGATTCTTGGGAAATTTTAGAGAAATGTAGTCATGAGTTTTAGGATCCTCTTCCTGGCAGCACACGTTGACAACTTCCTCGCCAAGTTTACTGCCATCTACTGGATCCGAGAAAAATGAAGGTAGTTCATGCCTACAACCATCCTGTCTAAAAGGAGACTCCATGCACTTATTTCTTTTGAAAGGGGCACGGAGAGAGTGGTTTCCTTGAGCACGTTAGAAGAATTATTACATTCCAAAACCTCAATATTTTCTACGGCGAATTCCTGCTTACAAATGGTATCATACACATTTTCACAGGTGTGTAACTGAATTACACCTGGAACCAGTCTCTCTTGCTCAAGGTGCACAGCATTCAAATTACTATAGAGTACCTGTGACTTTTCACTGTGTCCAGCAGTGGCTCCAGTTTGTAAATCAATAGCTTCTGAAGTCTGTACATCTTTGAATATTTCTGGAACACCACAAGGTCTTATTTTAATCATTCCATTATTAATTTCCATTTGTCTTCCAGTTGTCACACCTTCACTGGCATAGTTGTTAATTTCTGTAATACTCTCGAGCTCTTCTTTCTTATCACACTCACCTACAACGTTACTTGTCAAACACTCATTTCCCTTATTCTCATAGGAGTTGTAATCGAGACGACATAGTCCAAATAACGTCCATTGTCAGACGAAGAAAACAACCGAGGAGACACATTGGCATGTAAGGGGGCGGTTGTACTGTGGATGGGATTTTTAGCCGGGGAAGGTATGTCACAGGAAAGCATGTGCTGCTGCCATGGTACACATGCAAGACATTTTGATCCAGTCTCTGTCTTACTTGACGAGGCCTTTGAAAACAAATTGACCTTGGGTGAGGATAAAAGGCTTAAACTAGTATACATTGGCAAAGGATGAGGAAACTTACATTTATGAAAATTCATGTGCTGCATTGAAGAATTGAAATGTTCTCCATCATATTGTGAAGTCCTCATATTTTCTATCTTGTCACTACTTGACTCCTTGAGAAGAGGTCTTTCCCACATGTCAGGATCACTGCATCTTTTCCTACTGCAATTTAGTTGAGGAACATGACTTGCTCGTTGAGAGTATTGTAATGCATCAGGAATGGAAGGTAAGTGAGGTGAAGATGAGGATTGAGGCAAAACAGAATACTTAGATGCTGCAGAGATCAAGTTCAGGTTTTCCTCGTGAATCGTATTACCAGTAAACTGTGATTCAGAGGGTTTTTGGTGTAATGTTCCGACTGCCGATCCACACATTATCATAGGTTACCTGATCAATTACTTCATCGAGGCGATTCTTTTTCAAATTAAACTGTGAATGAGGTTTACGAACAGCATAGGTCATTTCTCAGTTGCTTTGTTTTATTTGCTTTTTTTGATATAACGGTATTACTTTTTTTTAACTTCATTTTCCTGTTAATTTTTTTCTGTACCCTTTTCCACTTCAAGTCTTTATCTTCGTCCATATCTTTGTTCTGACCTGTTACTTTTCCTCAGTCTTCTTCTCAAAACTCTCCCTGGGTTAACTAAAATATCTCCACTGTACAGATTCCCTTCAATTGCCTCTTCATCTTTGGCCTCGAGCGAGATATTAGATGCACAACCTTTTATTACTTGGAATGCTTTGTATTTACAGTCAGTATTATCATCCATAACTGATGTTTCCTGACTGGGAGGCAGAGAGACTGAAAATTGCTTGCTAGTATGCGGTTTCATAAGACTGGTGCTACTGTACATGTCAGCTGGCAGTTGATCGAGATGCCTCAAACAGAGAACAGTGTCACTGCCTTTGACTGGTTTCTCAAACACTTTGGAGACATTCTGTCCTGCCAAAAGGTTATCACAAGTAGGGGAATAAAGTCCATTAATAGACTTTAAACTCTCACTTCCACCTGATTCTACGTCACTTGAATAATGTCCGACTTTACAATCCTCAGCTACACTGTCACAGTTACTTGCCAAGCATGATTTCTTGGTTGCTTGAGGTGAATTACAGAACATTTATATTTTGGTGTTTTGAAAATGTCATCATAATCAAAGGCTTTAGTCAGTGCAGAGGGAGACCTTCCAGGGCAGACTCTTGAGTCTAACTTTCTCAATTCCATCTCGATAAAGTGAAATACCTCTTCAAATACTGGACTGTTTTTCTGAAGAGGTTTGTGGCAAACCTCCATTTTCTTTAATTCTTTTTCAACGTAAGTGAAGACATTATCCTGCATCCACACATTAGTGCACGCCTCAACTGAAGGTTTTCTTGATTTTAGTAGTTTGTTTTCTTGTGTCGTCTCAACATTCATCCCATCTGGAGTTTGAATGTCACTACAGCTCACTTTAGATGATTCTTCATTCCTGAACGAGCAGTTAATCTTCCAAGTCGAGCTTCCTGAACCAGCATATCCATTATCTGAAGAACCAACTTCAGTCTCTGATACCTTCCAAACAGATTTTGTGTCGAGGTGAATTGAGTTTGTTTTAGGTTTTTCTCTAAAGGGCCGTCACTGTCATCTTCACTTGGTCTCCTCAGTATCGTTGGTGATCTTCCAAACCAAGTCTTCATTTTTCCTTGACACTGGTCCGAGTTTAAATCTACAGAGCCGATATCAAACAGAGGTACACTTTCAATAGCCACCCCATCCAGATCTCCTTTCTTTACTATTTTGTTTTTTTTCACTTCAAAATTTGTGACTGCCAATTCAGCTCGGTTATAATTTTGCAGTTTTGGCGAGACTGAATTATTTTCCATCAGTCCCATGTGCAACTCATTTCTGTCATTTCCTGCACACATCACATCATATAATTCCCCTGAGCACTTTATATAAGTATTGTATGCATCATCACAAGTTTCAGTACATTTCAGACTTTCATCAACTGCAACTTCTAACACTGTCACTTTCCTCAATTACTCCATCGTAAAACACAGTACTTTTCACTTGTTTGGTTCCCATACTCACATTCTGTTCCAAAACCAGCCATATCCCTTGTTGGCATTACTTTCACACTAACACCATATTGTTGAGAGACTGCGAGTAAGCAGGGAGAGGAAGCAGCAGTAGCAGGCGAGGGTACATGCAGCAACATGCAGGGTCAGGCGACAGATTCTCTCGAGTGTTTAAGCCATGCAGCTGAAATAAGTATAATAACAGTTTATAAGGTACAGGCTGCTGATTATAATGGTCTAGAGGCAATATATACACTTGGGACTATCTAGCAAAAGCCAACCTACCACTGATAACTTAGGGCCCCCAAAGATGGTCAAGCACGACTAGCATTATGATTGAGCAATCATTTGTTATGGCCACTTACGTATAAGGAGGTTGTACAATATTCAGTTAGTGTGTGTGGCAGAGTTAGACAACATGAGTGTTGAGGTTGCATGCATAGCTATTATCTTTGCTCTGGAAAGAGGAACCAAAGGGGGGAAAAGGACGTGTTTTACCCCCACCCAATTGCAGGGTTTCAATAGTGTCTCTTACTTTAACAACACAACATACATATATTGTTTCACTTGATTTTGTTTTCATTTTTGTATTATTATTATTACTACCATTGTTACATTTTCGCCCCCCTGCCGATGTGGGTCAGTGACCTGTGCCCGGGCTATAATCCTCGTAAAAAAAAAACCGCCAGGCATGATTGCACAATCGTCATGATTGACAACAAATTATCAGTGTCTGATAATCTTCAATCATTTGCGCGCTTCAATCCTACCCACACAAATGAAAATGATTATGCAATCCCAATGATTGTCAATCATGCTTGACCATCTATGGGCTTTAAATCCACATATTCCTGATAAATGCTACGAATAATTTACATGGCTGACAAAGTTACTAAGAAAGAGTATTTACATTTCACAATATATTATTTGTAACTGCTAACGAGTTTACTTGAAGCTGAGGACACTACAAATAATACGGAAACTCAGACGAGGTGAACAGCTAACCTTTTTCTGTATTGTCTAAGAAGGATTAAAGCCGGTGAAATATAAAAAACATTGAAATTGCTACGGGGGGCTACCTCGGAGGATCACAGGTAGAGGTAGATAAAGGCGCTAGGTGATAGTGATACTAATACTATAAAAACACTTGACTAAGAATTCTTCAAAAAAAGACCTAAAAGGAAAGTATACCTAAACACCCTGTACTAATACATATTCAGCAGCTACATTATAATACAAATTAAACTGAACAAATGCAACAAAGATCGAGACACAAACACACATAAAAGGTGGTGAAGATGACTGTACAGCCTGGGTAGAGGACGGATGTACACACCTGCTCGTGGCGCTTGAGGTAGGAGAGACGAGGAAATGCCCGATCACAGAAGGAACACTGGTAGGGCGTGGTCTGGGTCACGCCCACCGTGGCTGCTGCCTCCACGTCCGTCTCCGAGGCAGAAGTGGGCGTGGCAGATGATGCAGGAGAGAGGGAACCCCGCCCATCAGAGCCCACGTCCCATGATGACCCGCCCACGCTCACCTCTGCAAGATAACAACACTTACTGACCGATCTACCACAACACTTCCTGGCCGGTCTACCACAACACTTCCTGGCCGGTCTACCACAACACTTCCTGGCCGGTGTACCACAACACTACTCACCACACAAGGAACTCGATGACAGACTCGTCCCAGATTATAATAAAGAATTGGTAGATTATCCCCATTAACATTTTTTTTACGGGAATTAGCCCACCCAGGCACAGGTCAAACGACCCACAACGGAGCCTGGGGCGAAAAAAAGAACGGAAAGAAATTATAAATATAGAAAAAAAAGTTATTCTGTACTAATCTACACCACAAAGATGCCGGAAAACCAGCTTTTTAAAGTGAGAGATTGAAGAGCAAGGAAACACAGAAGAAGGCAGAGCATACCACAGTCTGGAATATTATGAAAAAACAGACCGGTAGTACTGTACGGATCACAAAGTTGGGCATCAAGGAACAAGACAAAATTAACCGAAAGAAGAGCTCAGCATGGGTGATGAACCAGGACGGGAAATACTATTTTGCCACTGGTGCGAAGGTCAGGTCAAATCTTGTGACCAACGAACTAACAGGACACGGAGCTATTTATCCCCTGAGCAAGAGGGAAGAGAGAGAAGGCTGATTCGAGACAGCTACAGAGAGCTAAGTGTAAAGGTTTATAACCATTGCGTTATAAGAAACACAACCAGAATAACACGCGGCCCAGTTTTCATTCTCAGAAGATTCCCACCACCACTAGTCCTCTTAACTATATGCGTTAAAATGAACCTTACTGGCTGACTTCACCCGAACCACAAAAAAGCCCAAAAATAACCCAAAAATTACAATGATTACCTCAATTTTATACGATCCCTTTACATCAGACAGGGAACAGAATTAACGTTAATATGTCTAATAAAATGAAAATAATCTGGCTTAAGTCATTGTCTAAGTGTAGTTGTGAAGCAATTTTGAACATATTTTGGGTTTCAGCAGCTGTAGTGAGTCAGCTACGTTCTCCAGTTATAAGAAATAATAGCAGTACGAAGGTAGGGGAAGGTGGTAAGGGAAGGTAGGGGAAGGTGGTAAGGGAAGGTAGTAAGGTACATAGATATAGTAACACTAGAGAAACAAGAATCTGAAGGAATGGTAAACACATTTTTCTGTACAAATTTAAGTTATGTTGTAGGCGTTTTCTTGTCGGGATTTATTGGTCCGTAGGTGGGGTTAGATTAGGCTAGAGTCTGTTACCCTTGTATTAATTTACCAATAAACTAACTAAGAAGTAGAGTTGGCCAAATATTACAAAAATAAATCTATCAACACCATTAATTACATAAGTTACACAGATAAAAATGACAAATATATATAATTATTAGCGCGAACTGGAAGAATTAAAAATACATATAAGTAAATTTGAAACCCCAAATATAATTTACAACTAATAAGATGTTGATTTTAAATAATAAATTGTAGTGTAGTTAGTTACCGGTACTTGAAAACCTATTGAAACACAGATCATGTCAGAACTACCTCAGACTGTAAACTTTAAGTACCTCACAATTACCTCAATTAAACTGTAATGTAACATCATTAGTAATACTAAAACTCCGTAGCATCATAATAAAACACAAGGTCCTATAACACGGATTGATTTTTAACTCTGGATTTACGCAATTGTATATATTATTTTCTTTGTTTCCACCAATTCTATAACTTGTCTGGATAAAAAAACGATAATAAAAACATTAGACGAGCGACTAGTGGCTTCTCATTCATCCACTCGACAACCAACCTTCAAATTTACATGAATTAGTAAAGCTTGGTTCTTGTGGTCAGTGTTATTAGTGGTTTACAAATCAGATATTTTTCCTTGTTCCTCCACATCTTTCTAAAGTTACTATAATTTCTAAAAAATTACGCGTATATAAACAAAACAGAAAGACAGAAGAATTACTTAACTGTATCTGTCTCAGTTTATTTTTATATTCTCATAAAATTTGGTCTATTTAAAATATGAGTAACGAAAAGCGTCTGTCCATAGGCTTCCGGCAATTCAATTACATAGGAGGAATGAGCCCAACCTTGAACGTGGACTGTCGGATTATTATCACAGACTAAAGAGCAATAAATAAGAAATTCAATAGTGTAACATGTCACATTACTCTGGACACGGCTGGACTGCCACTAGATGTCTATCATTTTTTGGATGTATATAGTAAAGATATTGATTTTTTTTTTAGATTTCCAATTTGTGTGGTGGTCACTTGTAGGAAGGACAAGAGAAAACAACCGTAAAACATCATATGACGAATGAAAATAAGTGACTCGAGTTGAGGATGACATGGTAGTAGGAGTTGATACTACATACTACAGTATACTGAAGTTTTACTGACCTAGGAGACGAGAAGTTGGGTTACACAAGACCCTGGCGCGACCACAGGTATTACGGCGTCCCCCACAACATGAAAGACAACCGTACACTCTTGAATGTTCATAGAGCGATAAAAAGGTTACCTGGACTGAAAACCAAGATCCTTTTTGGCGAAGCTGAAGTTTCCGTCAACGGTCTAACGCAGAATACATGAAAACAAACAGAGACCTTCAAAATAAATTAAAGGGTATCCTATCACGAGTTGTGACCAATATCCAGTATATCACCACAAGTCACAGTTTTAAAATGTTCAAGGCACATCCACATGACACTAACAGAACTTCTTTCCTCTACACCGGGTAATGTATGGGGCAGCTGACCCGAGACGGTGATTATATTGTCTCAAACGTATTTGCCATCGAATAAGACTGGAGAAACATTAGGCAGGTTACTGTGTCACGTTAAAAATACACAGTACACGGCGTCAAGAGTCAACAAACTGGAGACTCGACTCCTTGTCACCGATGTTAGAATAATTCTAACTGGTTAGGATAACGCAGAAAAATAATGTCTAAAAATATTATATAAAAATTATAGGGAGATTTCAACTTCGCTATATAATTTCATTTGGCACCTGATCAAATTAACATGCAGAATAAATTGAAAAAAATTGCTTGTTAAATATTAGTCCCTACTTGATGCTAGGTAAAGGTGTCTAATTAACAGTGTCAATATATTTTTTGTACGTTATTTTTGTGAGGTATATTCTTATGTGCCTCTACAAACCTAGAATCTGAACCAGCTCGTACGCGCACACTTATGTGATCAAAATATATCCACATATCTGCAATTCATCATCACGCGGCCAAAAAACTCGCCCAAAACTTTTTCACGATGCGCCATGACCAATATAGTGTACTACAATTTCATTCGTCACAGTTGTATGGCCAAAAGAATATTCTCGTGTAATGAATTAAAACATAAATTGTCTAAACTCGTAAAATAAATTACAATGTGATTCTGACAAACCTTTTCATCCCTCTAATGTCACAGCAGGAATACGCATGGCTCACTACGATAACCTGCCCCTTACCCCATTTTCCACAACAACTTTTCTTGACGATAAAACTTTTTTCTTTCCACTCCAAGGTGTGATAATAATTACAATCACTACTTGTTAATACAATATCACGTCTTTACAAAGTTTTCCTTGGACGGAGTGTGAGGTGAGGTGGAGGGAGTGCGCACATCACTAACACTACACGCAGTCTCACTGCCAGCCGTAACCCTCAGCGCCCACATAACATCTCGCTGCCGTCCCCCACGCCCACCACACTCCCCGCCGCGCCACCACGCCTCACCCTCATACAGGCAGAGAGGGCGGGGGAGGGAATACCCCCTGGGGAGTCGTGGGGAGAAGGGCGCGGCCCCTGGGGACGCCTGCTGGCGGGTCCACCGCAGAATTACACTACACTCAACTCCACACTCTTGTTACTCTCTGGGTTGTCATACTCCCCTCCAGCTCCTTCCTTCCTACCTATTGTAACATCACTAAACAAAACATACAAATATAAAATTAACTATATTCAACAAAGGCTTAACTGTACAAGTCCGCAATAATCACAAAACTACTGGAAAAAGCAAATACTGCTTACACAAGCTTCGACTTCAAGTCCAGCGACCCCTACACACACCCACGTCGACACTAACCTAACTGGCAAACCCTCAAATAAATGTATTCAATTAATTAGATTTTTTATGTCCTTGCCATGAATGTAGTCCGGGTTTAAAATGTTACTCTTGTTCGTCCGCGTGTCGTTCACAAAATTTGGTGCGTGCATCGAGAGGTTAACAGTTTTCAAGGGGAACTATCCTATGTTCCGACGGTTCACTGGTACGAATGATGGATGGTACAATAGTTAGGTGAAGTGACGTTAAGTTATTGAATCTAATTTACTTTAAGTTGTGTTTAAGTCTGGTTAGGTTGGGACTGGTCAAGTTAGGCTACGTCACCCTCGCTGACTATTGAACCTCGTAGGGACAAACACACTAACAGTTTTCAAGGGGATGTTTTGAAACTTGAAGGGATCAATGAGGCTGTTGCTACACACCTGGACCCAGCTGTAAATACCTGTTTATGACAACCAATACCAAGCAACCAGACGAAACCTATCCAAGTAGTTATTATATTAGTTTTTGTTTTTCGCGTCGCCCTCTACAACTCGGTGCATATGACCAAGAGATCGCGTGTATAAAATAGTTTATTCTGCATACAAATTCAGGTTTATTTGTCTCTCTAACTAAAGCATAATAAGCAGAAGAGGATGTCTTATGTGTGTGGTAGCTTAGCCGCCTGAGAATACACTACTAGGAAGCTATTTGTGTTGGATAAGAACTGTCCAGATATTATTTACTTAACATTAGGTGAAGTATTTTATTTGACATGTAATTAAAACACTTCAAATAATGCCATATATGATATTATTCTAGTTACAATTTTTTTTTTATTAAATGGTGGAAATTCATAAATAAATGTGGTGTTTAGCCCTGGCAGAAAAATATTTGGTAGATCGTTATTTTGGATTTTATGGAGGTTCTGTACTGTAACTGTCCACCTCCCCGGTACAGCATGATGATCGGC